GATATGTTTTTTTTGTATGCACGCATGCCATGTTAATTTTGTAAGATTATATAAATGTTTTTATTTTAATCTGTGCTATTTGTTTTGCTTTATATTTGTCAATATGCTATATTGTTTGACTAAAAACATAGAAGCTATATAACTTTGTGGACATAAAAGACACTAATTAACGATAGCTCACTAACGCCCTCTATCAATATCCTAAAATGACCACAAAATACCTTCCCTACTGTTTTATGTTTTCTTTACACCCTAGCTATTATTCATACGGACGCTTTTTTTAACACGCATTAAAAAAAATCAAATATAAATGTATTTCTATGTATTTTTTCATACCGTCGCTTTTTAAAGCTACGCATCTATCGTGCTGTGTTTCATTTCGAGCTGGGCAAGGCGTTCATCGTTCTAGAGCAGTGGTTCCCAAACTTATTTTGTCTACTGCCCACTTTGAGAATAAACATTTTTTTTTAGCGCCCCCATATTTTCACATATTTAAAAACCACTATAACTTCAAATTAAATTAATTAATTATTGGAACTTTTACTATAACCCGCAACTTGAGACCTGCAGCGCCCACAAGGAGGCGTCATCGCACACTTTGGGAAATACTGTTCTAGAGTTTTAAGGTGGTGATAAAAAAGCGCCCGTGTGAATGCTCTCTTTGTGTTACATATGACATTGCGATAGTAGCGCCCCTTTCACAGGGTCGGAATAGTTTTGTCGCATTATAAGTTTTTGTAACATTATTTAAGATGGTTAAAGTGTAAAATTTAAAAATTTTAAATATTGATTTCGGTTAAAAAAAGCACGTGTTATATGATCTTTTTAATTTAAAACTAATTTTGTGTCTATTTTAAATGTATATCTGTCTCGTATATGTTTTGTTTATGTTTGCATGTAATTGGGTTTTAGTAATAAAGGCTTTTTTAATGCTATTGTATTTTTATCGTTTTGTTTTCTTTGTTTTTTTTATTTTTTTTAATAAAATATGTAAATAACAAATTAATGTGACACTTGGCTGTACGGGCACAACTTTTGTCTTTTGTGTTGAGAAGAAAATTAATTACGATATGTCATTTGCACAAGCTTGCCTCCATTTTATTGTTTTCCATTTTAAATTCATACTTTTACATAATAATAACCTAATAATAATTAGATTACAACGTTTCTATGTTATTTTATATGATTGTTGATATTTTTAATTTGATTTGTAAAAGTATGTAATTTTAAAATTAAAAACCTTAGCATCGTTACGTCATATTTGCATCTCAGCATGGTTAAGTTTATTGGTTTCGGATAAACGACTTTATGTTTAATAACAATTAAGGTAAGTTTTGCATGTTATTTTTAAAAGACAATCTGTCAAGTGGCGGGAAATTACTTTAACAAAATTATTTAATCTGTGAAATTAAAAATATTAATTATTTTCGAATTAATTGTTTATTTAGACGTCAAACTTTGAGGTTACGTAACTATGAAGACATTTTGTTTACTGATAAAGTATTATATTTAAAAAAGACTTCAAATTTCTTATAATTTCTTTTATTTTATCGTAATTTATTTCACAAATATATGTAGATAACATAAAATATGATGAAATAAAAAAAAATTAAGAGTTATAAAATTTTTGAGGTTATGTTTATTGTAATATTCCAGGCGAGCATACAGTGAACGGTGACCACTCTGATGCGCACCAGAGCACCTTCTCTCATAGCAGTAAAGAGGTAAGCAGATATAAAAAACTTAAAAAAAACACCCCTATATCTTTAACCAAAAGTATATATAAAAATGTACATACTGTCACCCGCGAATCCGTATGCACGGAATTAAAAAAATCTTAATTACGAGTCTATCTTCCAGACTATGTTCTATATGTGTGCCAAATTTCAACGAGACCCATACAGCCGTTTTACAGATATCTTCAAACAAACATCCATTTAAACATTCGCATTTGTAATATTAGTCTTATATATAAAATTGTCGTGTCACAATTTGTCGTTCCCATACTCCTCCGAAACGGCTCGACAGATTCTCATGAAATTTTGTGAGCACATTGAGTAAGTCTGAGAATCGGCCAACATTAATACCGCGCGGACGAAGTCGCGGGCGACAGCTAGTATAATTATAGAATTAGTTTTAAAATATTATTTTTTCTTTTTCCAGGGGTCGCCTTCTAAGGAAGTATCCACCGAAGACTCGCCTAAGAAAGACAAGAAGAAGAAAAAAGGTCTGAGGACGCCGTCGTTCCTTAAAAAGAAAAAGGAAAAAAAGAAGGAAAAGTCTAGCACACCACAGCCCGCCTAGAGGTATATTAAAAGTTTTTTTTTAATACCATATCTCTTTAAAATCAAACATAATTAGTAGGCTATGTGTTTTTCCAGACTATGTTCTGTATGTAAGACAAATTTTATGGAAATCCGTTCAGCCGTTTTGTAGATATCTTTAAACAAACATCCATACACCTAAACTTCGTATTTATAATATTAGTAATATTTAAACTGATATATAAACACGGCTAAACACTCACGTATATACGTCCGGTGGCGGCACCGACTAGTGAGCGACGGGCCGCGTTCGCGAAATAATACCAGTACCACTCATCCTGATGAAGGGTCCCCGATGGGCTCGAAACTAGTCGGTGCCGCCACCGGACGTATATACGTGAGTGTTTAGCCGTGTTTATATATCAGTTTAGTATAATGTCTCACGAAAGTTTGAATAATTTAATAGTAATATTTAATTTCGGTGTTGGATTAAAACGAGGTATGGAATAGACAATTTTTTTTAATCTATGCCTTATATTATCTGTTTAATTTTTCAGATGTTACTCCGAAAGAACACTGCCATGTCGCTTTCAATATAAATTCGTAATTAAGAGCAAAATTACAATTGTACTATTTTTTTTTATACAGCTTTACAGTTTGTGTGGGTTGGGTTTGGATTTGAACCCATGAGATTGTTTTAATTCGCGTATTTGACCCACCTATCGGCGTAGCTATCACATTTTGCTTACGTCTTTGCGTTTTGAGATAAACTCGAAACTCGGCTTTGTCAAAGTTGGGCATTGTCAAAGTTGAACACTGTCAAGGTTTGACTATGACAAAGTTAGGCATTGTCAAAGTCAACGTTCGGCATTGTCAAACTTGAGTATTGTCAAAGTTAGGCATTGTCAAAGTTCGGCATTGTCAAAGTTTGGCTATGTCAACGTTCGGCATTGTCAGAGTTTAGGATTGTCAAAGTTAAGTAAAATCGATTAGAAATGAGTCGCGGAGTAATCGACCAATTCTGCTCATAGACTAAGCGTTCTAGTTAAGGGCTATTTTAGATGACAGTCTTATTTATTTGACATATTACAAATCTTTGGATTTTTTTTATTTTTTTTATATTGACAAAATTTATATTCTTATGACTTGCCAACAAATTATGTGAATTTCTTTTATATTTGTGTCTAGTATTTTTTTCTTTCCGAATCAGACAGTTTTTAACGGAAAATATTTTTATTTTTTAGTTTTATCGAAAATGCTGTTTCCATTTTGCTTAAAAAATGGAAGTATGCGATTTTTATTCCGCTATACTTATCTGATAGGCGGAATTGACTATTGGAATAAAGTGCTTTTGACAAAAAAATATATAATCTTGTTTTTTTTTTTTAATATTTTTCGATTTAAATTGTCTATTCGGTGTATATGGTGCGTTCTTATGAATAATTCTTCACCAGCATCAAATGCTTTTCGTGTTAGGGGGTTAGACCATTTTGACAAGGCCCCATGCCATTGTGCTTTTGAAATTTATATAATATAGGATATGTCCACACTAAGACCCACAAGCTTATGCCTTTGTCTTTTAAAAAAAATAAAAAACAAACAAATTAAATTGCATTTGAAACAATACTGGTACAAAATAAGGCATAAAAAGTGTGGAAATAGCTTACGATACAGACTATAGCAATTATCATCTGTCAAAATTCGCGCCTTTTAACTGTCAAGTGTCATCCATAGACAACTTTAGTACGCGAAAAATTTTGACAGTTGACATTTGCATAGTCTATATAAATATAATTAAACGATATAAAAATTATAATTTACATAAGCACTCTATACATAAGGAGTTAGGCTAGCTATCGTAGATTCTTTTTTAATCTATTTATTTCCAATTTTATTCGGAATGTCACTTCGACATGGCGTTATTAAATCTTTGATATACATTTAAAATTAATAAACTTAGTGGTACAGTACTATAATTTATATAAACTACATATAGACGCATTTAAATTCTATTTAGGGCCTTATTCCGCCGTGTTGAAGAGAATTACATGTTATTTTGGGCCCAAATATCACATTGATTTATGAAATAATTAATATATACGAGAAAATTTTATTTTTTATGTCACCAAGGCCCATCAATTTGACATTACCTAGAAATAGTCTAGAGTTGTTAAAATGGCAAGTTGATTTCTTTTTAATTATTATCACGTTATATGGGATTTATTAAGTTTTATCCCGTATTTATAAATATTAAGTAATTTTTAAATAATGTTTGAAAAATATTGTGGACACTGGCATATTATGCGACTTTGTAATTTTTAATTCAAAATAAATTATTAGTTTTAAAAATGTTTTCTTATTTTTTTTTAATCCTTACGACGAATGTTGCCAGGCACGAACGTGCTGGATTTTTTTTTAGTAGTTTATAAGTTTTTAGCTTAAAAGAGTTTATTTGTATCGTGTATTTTTTTATTTCTAAAATATATGCTGTTTGGATGATTTATTATGGAACGTGTTGTTTCATTTTTTTATTTATAACCAGCTGTAACTAAACTTTTAGAATATTAAGGGTAAGTATGAAAATCGATAAAAACCACTAAAATGTCAAAAGTCAAATAGGCACAAAATACTACCTTTTATATCCGGTATAAAGATAGGTGTTTTAAAAAAAAAACATCTATGGCGTTGCTCTTTGAAATTATTTAATCTGTGATCTGACATTACATTAGAAAAATAGTTTTGACATTTGTCTGATGGAGATTTTACAAAATTATAAGTTACGATGTTAAAATTTAAATATTAAAGATGTTTATCAAACAAGAAGTAGCGAATACGCGATGAACAACATTCCGGTACAATTATGGAGAATGCAGGTTATAAATAATTTGTTATAAAAGTTATTAATATGAAATATGAATTATTCCTCATCAGGCTCAAGTTTCATACCATCATCAACCTACCTTAGTCTCTACGTAATGCCCATAGTATGTACTTTTCCATACATCTCTAAGAGTCATCTGAATTCCCTCCCTCCTTACGCATATGCGCTTTTAACCCTTAGTAGCCTGATTTACATACGAAAGTGATTTATTTTTAATATTACTGTGTTTGCTTGATAAAATAAAACAATAATGAAATTTGTTTTTTTTTTTAAATTTGGTTGGAAAGAATATTAACAACAGTAAAATAGGTACAGCCTACCTATAAAAAATCTAATAGTAATGTGAACATTCGGTTTAAAAGATTGGTATCAAAATTAAAACTCTAGGCTAATAAGGGTTAAACAATTCATTCATACTATTATTACATCTACACACAAACATTAAACCTTTTAGAACATATATTCATTTCTATTACTTTCAACCTTGTTTCCTATGTAGGGTAGGCACAATATTCTGTTCCATAACACAAAATTATTGTATTTCATAGTTAATTACGACACATGCAAAAGTTGTTGTTTTTATTATTCTCGAAAGAGCAGGCAAAGGAACTAAGCCATACAGCCTTACATGCAAAAGTAACAGACAACAGGCATTTTATTTTTAAAGTTTACACAGATTATGGCAAAATTATGAGATACGATTATTTACTTGAACATCGTAGATGAAAGATTTTTTACTTTACTATACTATTTAGGGTCTTTCAAAAAGCGTACCACTTTAAAGGTCGGCATTTGCTGACCTTTGGTGTTGCAAATGTTTATGGCAGTTATGATATCTTTGTTCAAGCTGTTTTGCCCTTTTGTAGAGATAGATTAAAACCTATTTTATTAAGATTCTGATTTATAAAATATATTTCCAGTTGCTACCTTCCAACGATAAGAAAGAGAATTGTGAGTATAAACGACGAAAATGCAAGAAGGTAAAGAGCGCCAAATTTTCGAGCGTCTGTAAAGCCGCGCCAAACCATCTGTCAGAATTTGCTGGCGCGTTAATGGATTATTTCTGTGAAGTTGGCAAATTAATTTCCTGCGAACCGGATACACAAGTGTGTAATACATTAGTGGAACTTCTACGTATAGTCACAATTTTAGGCAATGACATTTTTATCGTTTTAAAATGTTTTTGTCGCTGCTGTCGTCGGCTGATGAACAAACGAAAGGTTTGCCTTATTTAATTTTTTTAAACTGACAGTTGACGTTTCGATATTGTTTTTGATTGTCAATTTTTTTAGTCTATGCCTTGATGTTATTTAAAAAATCGTAATGTGTTTGTTTACATGTGTTTGGTTTTCCTAACTCATAAACCTGGATTATTCATCACTTTCAAGACTTTTACAATTGTTTTGTGCCTTGCAGGATCTACGAAAGTGTATAAAAAATTTAACAGCTTACAATTCTTATGAAAAACAAGAAATCTGTTCTATTGTGTCAAGTGAAGATTTATCGTAATTTATTGTCTTGTTTTATTTATGAACCAAATAGATATCTAATAAAAACACGTGTATCAAAACGTAGCCCTACAATTCCTTCACGGACCTATATATTCTAGTGAACGACTATAAGCCGTTGAATTTTTATGAATATTTGAGTTTAGGCGTTTTATAGCTGACGATTGCAATTAGTATGTTGGATACTCGAATATAAAAGGAAAATAAAACAATCATATTAAACTTAATTTATTTAATAATCTATACAAGAATTAACAACCTCCAAGAGAAATGTACAACACCAGAAAAATAACCTAAAAAAAAATTCGATCCAATGAAAAAATATTTCTATATTAACAAACACCTATTTATTATAACCTACAATTTATTGCTATTTTGATATTTGTCTATCGCGACCAAAATCCAATAATATCTAACAAAAATATTTAAAAAAAAACCTTCGCCATATTATATCGTAATTTGGTCAATAAATCAAATAATAGAATTATCTAGAAACGAATTCATTGTTTTATATTAAAAAAAACAGGCCCCGAATTTACGATAATTAATTGAAAGTTGTATTTATAAATTTAAAAAGATAAAAGACATTCTCATTCAGTGAGAAAGAAATAATTTTAACGGCACAAATTATTATCAAAAAAACGATTTTTTACAATGTTATAAACATTGGAACAAATTGGAAATTTATTTATAACAATAAGAAAAAATCATTTCCAATTTTTAACATAACTGATTAAAAAAATATAAGGACAAAGGACATTTTATTAAAAAAACATTTTTCAAGATTAAAAAAACGATATTCACAACAACAGATTGAAAATTTAACAAAACGAATTGTTATAAGTACTGGCAAGTTATTTATCAAATACATAACTTATTATAAAGAAAAAATTGTTCAAATATAGTCAAAATGACTACAACTTTAAGGCAAGATTAACAATTCACGATTATCAACCTTAATCCAAAGTGATAAGTACGATTTTACAAAAACTGCATTAAATAAAAACTATCACCCATACTTATTTACTAGACCCGTTTACCGTAAACACATTTAACTAGTATCTGTTAGATTGTAATCGTCAGTTTATAAACTGAACGGCTATGTAGACAAATTATATAAACACCAAAAAACAAATTGAAGACAATTTTTTTTATTTAAATCAATTTTATTTCAAAATATAGTTAATTTCAATTACTTGTGTTATTGTAAAACTGACAAATATAAAAACATATTTTAATCACACTTTCAAAGAATTAAACAGTCTGTTCCAAACCGTTTGCGTTTAACCCAAATTGTTTGTCGATTATAAAATTATCTTGAGTCCCGTGGATTGTCCTAACATGGATTCTCAAATAACTAGGTCTAGTAAAAAATTTATAACATATATGACATTGATATTTCTTTAATCCGCTGTGAGTTTCTAAATGTCTTTTTAATTTGCCCCTTGTTATAAATCCTTTGCCGCATTGCTGACATATGTATGGTTTCTCTTTAGTATGAGTGAAACTGTGCAACTTCAAATAATAATGCAATTTAAAACTTTTACTACAAATCTGACAGATATGTTTCTTCTCTTCGATTTTCTCATCATCCTCTAAAGCTATTTTAGAACCGTGACTCTTTAAATGCTCCTCTAAATAGAAGAAATGTTGAAATATTTGACCGCAAATGTTGCATTTCTTATTTTGCTCGTCCGGCAATGGTTTGATACCGGATTCGGGATGTTTCGGTATTCGACGAGCGTTTTGTAAAACCATCGCTAATACTTCATTTCTGTTTGCTTCAACTATTCTGTGAAATTAAAAAAAAATTGTTACTGAGAGAAAATTCCAAAAATTAAAAAAAAATACTCTAGCTAACTACTAGATTAGTTGTTGCCCGCGACTCCGTCCGCTCGGAATTAAAAAAAAACTTAATTAGTAGTCTATGTGTTCTTCCAGATTATTTTCTACTTCTATGCCAAATTACAGCAAAATCTATTTAGCCGTACTGTAGACCTTCAAACATCCATCCATCCAAACATTCGCATTTATAATATAAGTAAGATATGATAACACAGTCTAAGTTGAATAAGTGACAATCCTAGAGACAAAGAGATTTGTCTAACTTATAGAGGTTTTTCTCTAATTGTGTCTCGCTTATTCAGTTTCACCAGTATTAGGAATAAATTTATATTTCACTCCAGGTCAATGATATAAATTGTAGATATTTAAATATTTGGCAGGGGAGGGGACATACAGGTAAGAGAAAAAATTGTCTCTCCCCTGCCACTAAATGTGCAGATACTTGTAAATACTTACAATCCTTCCTTCTGATGTGTGACTAAATGCATCTTAATATGATATTTAGTATTAAACATGTGCGCACAGACAGGACACTCGTATCTAACAACGTATTGGTCCGCTCTATGCGTTGCTATGTGCTTCTCCAATTTGCGATATGAAGGAAAGCTTTTAGAACATATGTCACATGTATACTCTTTGTCAGTTGTATGATGTTTTCTGTGGTACATCTGGAAATATAATTATTTATGACTAGATGTCGTCTGATGAGTGTGCGTCCCGGAGGCCTAATTTAGTCCTCTTTCCCTTCCCACACTTTTTCTTAGTAGGAAAGGATGGGAAGTGGAAGTGGACTTTCCGGATGAGAGGATGCATGGAAAGGGAAGATATTTTCTTTCTGTGCATCCTCTCCTGCGTCGATTAAAGGTAGGCAACGCATATGCAATTGCGTATGTCTAGGGGCAGCGGTCACTTCCTTTATCAGCGATTTCAGGTGACCGCTCGCTCGTTTGCCACCTTATGATATAAAAAAAAGCTGTCGCCCACGACTCCGTTCGAATTAAAAAAACTTAAGTAGTCTATGTTCTATATCAGTCTTTCCCAAAGTGTGCGATAACGCCCCCTTGTGGGCGCTGCAGGTCTCAAGTTGCGGGTTATAGTAAAAGTTTCCTTTACAATTCTCCGTTAATATACATATATAGGTCACAATAATTAATTAATTTAATTTGAAGTTATAGTGGTTTTTAAATATGTGTAAATATGGGGGCGATAAAAAAATATTCTCAAAGTGGGCAGTAGACAAAATAAGTTTGGGAACCACTGGTCTATATGTATGACAAATTTTAACAAACATCCATTTATCTAAACATTCGCATTTATATTAGTAAGAAAAAACTTTCTTGTTTTTTTTTAATATAAGCAGATTTTTTTGTAAATTTACTAATATTACTTTTACCATTCCAACTAAGCTCTAGGCTTGTGCTAGGATATAGTTTACGACAATAGTCGAATGGCGGGATTCGAACCCCGATCTTGTGATCGGAAATCCGTACCCTTAACCATTAGGCCATTGACGCTTCAATATTCATTGAAAATAATTTTTTAAAGAAAGCGCCATCTATTATCAACAAAAATAAACACTAGTAATCTTTTCCCACCAACAGATGTCACTTACCATAGTTTCTCGTTTTTTATATGTTTTACCACATAAAGTACAAAGATATGGCTTCGGACCTTCATGAGTTACTTCATGGACCTTCAAAGCTTCCTGATTATCCATCTTCATCAGGCAATAGTTACATTTCAACACAAGTTCTTCACCATCATGTGATTTCTTGTGTACTTGTAACGTGCCCATATGTAAGAATCTTTTGTGACAATACTCGCAAGCGTGTGGACGAATTTTTTTTAATTTTGATTTTGGTTTTGTAGTACTGGAAATTTTTTTTATATATTAATTTTGTATTGTCTTTGACCATACTATTTACTATATATTTAGTTTTTTTTTGCAATCATTTTTTTTTATTTAAATAACTAAATAGCTTAAATATAATAACGATAAATAAATCATATAAAAAAATAAAATATTTTTTTTTTTACAAAAAATTACTTACTCTTTGACTTTTTTCTTTTTGTTCTTAACAATATCAGATCCCACATCTGTATTTTTTTCCAATTTCATCGCTGGATCGTCTGAAAATCGTAAATAAATAGTTAAAATCGGACATAATGACATCAGAAGGACGAAAATATTTAGTCTTTAAATATTTTTTTCCAAATATCTATTGCTAAGTCACTTAAAAAACGTATTTAAATCGTATTCCATACAAAAAAAATGTTTTAATTATTTTTCCAATTTACTCAAACACTAAACCTGATTTATTGATTTATTGAATTTAATAATTTTTTTTTTTCAAACAAGAAATTTTTTTTTTTTAATTTTTTCAACTAACCGAAACACTTGACCAGATTTATTTTATAATTTATAGCATTAAGTAAGTTTAGTGGAGACCTTTATAATAGAAATTAATTTAAAAGATATTTAAAAAAAATCCAACCATATCCCATTGAAAAAAAAAAAAAAAGAAAATTTTTTAAACTCACCCAAACTGTCAGAATGTGTCAAAACATGTCGATGCATCTTACTCGCTGTAATAAATCCCCGATTACATATGTAACATTTATATGGTTTCTCTCCCGTATGAGTTCTCATATGTATTTGTAAATAAGATTGGGAGCTTATTTTTTTCTCACAAATATCACATTTTATTGGCTCACCTTGCTTCTGACGTTTACTTTTATGCGGAGGCGAATCTATCTTAGGTGACGCTGCCCACGTATTCGATGGGAAATAATCACTGTCCGAACAACTGGAAATATAAAAAAAACTTACTAATATTATAAATGCGAATGTTTGGATGGATGGATGCATTGATATTTGTATGAAGGTATCTCCGGAACGACTTAACAGATCTTGATGAAATTTGTCATACATATAGAACATAGTCTGGAAGATCACATAGGCTAATAATTAAGTTTTTTTTACGAAACAATATGTCCATAGACAACAGCAATTATAAGTGCTATGCTTACGTTTAATCGACAGAGGAGGGGATGCACAGATAGAGAATATTTCACCTTTGTGTGTCCCCTCCTCTGTCAAATCCATTCCCCTTCCCATTATAAGAAAAGGGTGGTCATGACTGAACTTAAGTCTATAACTTACCTGTCTTGATCATCTTTGTTATCTGACATGTATCCATCAGAATCAATTTCTTTCTTAACTTCCGTATCCATAAATCCATTTGGCATTTCAACAACAACTGTAGTTATAGCATTTTCTGTATTATTTTCTATAAGTTTTATTTCTTTATCTGTAGATACTTTGGTTTCTTCCATCGGCCAATCTTCCCATAACTTTTCACTTTTCTCCGTTTCTTTTGGATCAGTTTTTATTTGTAATTGTTCTTCTAATTCTTTTAAATATGGTAATATTGCATTGTAATCTGTAAATAAATAGAAAAATTATCCTCATCAGGTCAATATACCAAATGTGGGTCTCGGACTACCGTAAGTTAGGTCATAATCAACGCTGACCCAGTGCGACTTCACACATATCTTTGAAATTCTTTACAAATATAGGATAAATGTACATATGTAAATATAAAATAACACATTGCTACTTGGCGGGATTCATAATTGCTGACAAGTGCTTAACACTTAAGAAACCGATTATTAACTTTTGCAATATTGTAAAAAAAAAAACAATTTTATAGTAACTAAGTTTTGCGTCCAGGAGGCCTAATTTTATCCTCTTTTCCTTCCCACACTTTTTCTTATAAGGAAAGGATGGGAAATGAAAGTGGACTTTCCGGATGAGAGGATGCATGGAAAGGGAAGATATTCTCTTTCTGTGCATCCTCTCCTCCGTCGATTAAAGGAAGGCAACGCATATGCAATTGCGTATGTGTATGGGTCACTTCGCTTTCAGGTGGCCGCTCGCTAGTTTGCCACCTTATGATATTAAAAAAGTTATGTTCTTGCAAAAGTTAAACCAAATTATGATAGCTTACTACAACTGTATGAAAAAAATGACACAAAACCTTTATCTCAGTTCCGCCACACCTCACCCTACCTTGACTAATGGATATTATATTTGAAATATCCGACTCGAAGGATCAAAATACATACCATAAGGTTCCCCTTCCAACTTATCTTCAGGATGCTTCTTATCAAAATGTTTTGTTAAATATTCAAACCTGAAAAATGATTTTAAAAAATTAACCCAAGTTTCTCGCTTACGGCAGCCATCTGACAAGACTAGACAATGATTCTCGCTTATAGAAACTTTCTAGCTTATTCAGTTTTAACTATACATAATAAGATACATAATTGTATTAAAAAAAATAATCTTACTAATATTATAAATGCGAATGTTTAGATGGATGTGTGTTAGAAGATATCTCCGGAATGGATCAACGGATCTTAATGAAATTTGTCATACATATAGAACATAGTCTGGAAGAACACATAGGCTACTAATTATGATTTCTTTTAATTCCGCTCTATCGGAGTCGCGGGCGAGAGCTAGTTAATTATAATTTTGAAAATCCATTGAGTTTTTGAATTTTAATTGTTCTTCTAATTTAAAACAGATTATATAACTTACCTAGAAAAGAATTTATAGCATATCCTACATTGATGTCTTATAGCCAGATGTATTCTCTTTTTATGTCTGCCTAGCTTGCTGGCTGTGATAAAGCATTGACCACATTCAGCACATGTATATGGCTTTTCATCTGAAATATTATTAAAAAGTATTGTCATCTTACTAATATTATAAATGCGAATGTTTAGATGCATGTTTGTTTGAATGTATCTTCGGAACAGCTCAACAGATCTTGCTGAAATATGGCATACATATAGAACATAGTCTGGATGAATACATAGGATACTGTTTATCTGCCTAACATGAATCTTACAAAATGATGGAGACAGTTTTCCCAATCAGTCCCATCCACTTTACTCTGTCCTCGACATCTGAGATTCGGCACTCATGTCATTAACCACATCTTTCAAACTCGTAGGATACTAACATTTTTTTAAATTCCGATCGGACAGATTCGGAGGCGATTGTCCATCAACAGCTCGGAATACGTCTGGAATACCTATTGAGGGACTTGCAGCCTACCCTAAGTTAAGGGTGATTAGTCCATAGTCAACCACGCTGGCTAACTGCGGGTTGATTCACACATATAATTGAATTTCTTCTCAGATATGTGCAGCATCACGATGTTTTCCTTCACCGTAACATCGGATAAATGTACATATGTAAATGGGAAATGGAAAAACACATTGGTACAAGGCTTCGAACCCAGGATCTACAGATTGCAAGTGCTTGACACTTGAGCCACTGATCGGGGGCGATTGTTAGTGTTAGTAAATATATAAGAACATACCTGTATGAGATCGTACATGTAATTTTAGATAATAACTTAAAGTGAACTGTTTTTGACAAGCAAAACATTTGAACATCTTTTCCAAATTATCGTCCTTCTGTGGTATAGTATTATTTTCTTTACACCCCGTTGACTTTGAATCAATCTGTTCTGTGTCCGTCAGTTTATAATCTACCGTTTTTATATCGCCAATATATCCGTCTTCCGTTTTGATTTCGATTTCAATTTGATTTTTTTCCTTTTTGATTGTTTTATTTAATTTTTTCAATTTCTTCTGTTCTTTACGCATCTTCTTTCTTTTCATTTGATTTTTTAATCTCAAACCATAGCTCGTTATCCTGTTTTTATGTGTTATTATATGTTTATCTAAATCTGTTAGTAATTTAAAACTGATATTACAAACCGCACAACCGTAGAACGGGAAATTACTGTCCGCTATCTTTTCAGATAGAAAACTCTTCTTTACTTTATGTTTAATTTCTTTTTTAATTAATGTTTGTTCATTTTCATTTAAATTCTCTTTAACATTACAGTTTTCTATCTTATCTGTTAATTCAGATTTCGAGTCTTTATGTTCATTGGTACAATTTGTAGTTATATTTTGGACATCGTAATTGTATGTAACATCGGTGTATAATTGTTGGTAGTTAGGAAATTGTGTATAATCATACGTAGCTAAAGGATCTATATCTGTACCATTCTGGATGTTTGGATTCATCTTGATAATCTGTAAAATTGATAACATTATCAACCATCAACCTGCCGTTATCCCTATTGAGGGTTGGCACAGTATGTACTCCATACATCTCTATCAGCTGTCATATGCTCTTTCACACAGTCATTTCATACTTTTTTTGCTCTTCCTCTACCTTTGTAGCCATCCAAATTCAATCTCATTACTTTTTTGCTTATATTGTCATCATCCCTCCGCATAACATGTCCAAACCACACTAATGTTATGATTATGTATAATGGTGATGATTATGTTTTTATTATTGTAAAATTTACAATAATAAAAACATAATCATCACCTCACTATATCCCCACTGAGAGGCTCGGAGCCTACCCTAATATATCTACAAGAATGCCTGAACAGATCTCGATGAAATTTTGCATTAATATTTGACACAATCTGAATCATTTTAAAATTATAATGAATTAAAATAAAGAATGACAATGTTTGTAATAAATTACTGTTTAATTCAAAAATGAACAATAACTTTGTTATTAGGAAATACTGTCTTATTTTGCGTAACACAATACTGAAGATTTCTTTTGTTTTGATATCGTTAACTAATTTTATTTACGAAATACATTCGATGCAATGTAACTTATTTTTTACTGTTTAAAACTGAAGTATATAGCGAAATGATACGGATGTTAAACTCTTTATATACCTAATTACCACAATGAATAAAAAAAGTACCTGTATAACCGCAGTAATAAAAAAAATCACAACTTCGTCAACACATCAACATTTACACTAATAAAACTATTCATTGTAAACAAGATTTTATAAGTACAGCAACTTTGTATATCCTAAATTTATTCTTCTAATAACTATTCACAGTAAAATCACTTAAAAAGTTTATTTACAATGCAAAATATAGTTAAATTTAAATACGAAATTCGGATTTTTTTCCTCGCGTGACTGACCTGCCATGGCCGTCAGTTTTATGTTGCCATATTTGGTAACACAATTACCAACGGTTATATCATTTCAAGGTCAAGTTATTTGTTTTTGTTTGATAAAAAATTAAACATATTTTTGATCTTACATCTAAGATTATGTTAACATTGCCTGAAGAATTTCTAAGAAATATAAATCTGAAACATCTGAGAAAATAGCAGCGATTGAAACAATTTCAATTTTAAAATGTCCTGATCATCTTTAACTTTAGCATTTAAGCTAAATCTTTAAATAGGAAACATTGAATGTCTATAAATTGAAATCTCTATTAAAAAGTATTAAAATAGAACTAAAAATGCCTTAAAATCAATACCATTACCTCTCATATACACTATACAACATAAACTATAAATATAAGGTAGTGAAAATTAAGGAAAGTTAACCGTTTTACGATTTGAAAATGGCTACAATATTTTTCGAAATGCTCCTTACATTGAAGGAAAACAGGTGTGAGTGCAACATTATTTTTAATGTCACTGTCGCTCTGTTGTCAATCGTTTCGATGTTCCATTTTACGCTTATTCAAAATATTATAATGGAGAACAATAATTCTAAAATATATTTTTATGTATTATTCCATAAAACAATATCATCGTTCAGTGAAATAAGACGATGCATTAAATTTTTTTAATAAAACGATTTATATCCATTTATATAAAACAGCTCTTATGTGAATGATACTTATAATTTGAAATTTATTAATACTGTTTTTATACTTCGCTTTAACGTTTGCCTTTTTAAGTAGGTATTATGTTGACGATTCATATTAAAACACAATGCAAATAAAGGGAAATTGATTGTTATCCATTTTAAAGCTATTATGTAGATATTGCCCCATTTTAAACCTAAACCGTTTGGAATAAAATCGATATTTCTTTGTTCACCCTACATCACATTTGAACGAGATATAGTGTTGTGCATAGCGCTAATTAGATAACCAATCTCTCCTAATTTAATAAACTTTAACTTGAATTTTTTTGGAGATAAATATTATTTAGCTGAAGATATAATCCTATTTTACTTTATGGAAATGTATGTATGTATGAAAATAAAACAAAACAAACCTTCCTTCTTCTTAATTAAATTATTTAGTTTGATGTTATGGGTTTTCTCAGTTCAAACTGTCAATCTGTGTTTTTGACATTTGGCATTCGCGCCCTGTCATTGGCTATGTGCTTTTTCGGAACAATGTTTTCATTTAGGCGGGAGTTTGGAATCTCTTATACATATTTTTTCTAGCATTGTAATTTGTTACCCAGGTTACTTTACGCTAATCTTAAAACAATATCCATGAAACTGTTATTTTCTAAACTAGTCACGTTCTGCTATACGTTATAACAGTTATTTCAACTCTTTCACAATCACTATATATAATCAGTGACGCGCGAAACCGCCTTGCGGTTGGTTGTGCGTTTACGTAAATTATTTAATTTTGAAAGTTTACAAAATATAAAACTTTATTGTAACAAAGGAAGTTAAACGTGACTAATAATATATTAACATATAATAATAGTGTTGTTGAATATCATTTATGTCGTGATTCAAATAGTAATCTGTTAAATTCATAACAAAACACATTAAGTAAATTTGATAATAGTTTGATGGATATCGCATACATAAAGTAATTGGTGAGTTAGATATTTCTTATTTTGTTGTTTTTAACATTTTTTTTCTATAAATCTGTGATAAAACAATCATTCTTGACCTAGCTAGGTGAGGTAATGCAATATTTAGTCGTTTAACGATTTAATCAACGTTCAGCTTCCTGGACAACAAACATCCATCCATTCAAATATTTATTATATTAGTAAGATAGTGTAATATAACTTTTAACGTACGTATAATTCTTTATTTTTGTTATTACTTTTATTATTTTAATTAAAATAGTTAAAACATTATCAAAGCAAAAGGGAAAGTTTCCATTTTAAAATTCTCGGTACGTATTGACCTTATAAGTTACGTAATTTTAAACTGTAGTTCCAAATAACGTTATTTTCTATTCAAACAAGTTACGATCGACATATATTCAAAGTTAGTACTCAAGAATATTAATAAAAAAAATTTACAAGACACAAAGACATAATAGCCTTTGTGTCTTATTTTATAGAGTATAAGCTGTCGCCTGTGACTCCGTCCGTGCGGAATAAAGAAAAACATATAGTAGCCTGTATTCAGTCCTTCTGGAGATACCTTCAGACAAACATCCATCCATCCATACATGAATACAAGATATTAGTAAGATGTAATACCGGAATGATGCACCACGCAATGCTGTCGAATCAACAAGACACGAGGAAGTATTTTCTTGCGAGTCTTACAGAAGTTTTGAGGACCCTGGTACGTTTCAATGGAGTTCCCAGGACTTGAGGTTAGCCGTGGATATCGGTGAATAGGAAACTCACATAACCCTGTCTTTCCTTCAAAAGGAATCTTACGAAGATTTCTCCTTAATACAACCCTTGCTCAACATGATACGCACCTCTAATCTTACTAATATTATAAATGCGAATGTTTAGATGGATGTTTGTTCGAAGGTATCTCCAAAACAGCTGAACGGATCTCGCTGAAATATGGCATAGATATAGAACATAGTCTGGAAGAACACATAGACTACTTATTACTTATTTTCATTTCCGCACAGAGACGCGGGCGACAGTTAATCATCTACTATACTATGCTTGTGTTAAAAAGAATAAATTATTTCTTTCTTTTCTATGTGGCCTGACTGAAAGTATGGAAACTCCTTGGACAGTTTGTCTTGTAAAATTATTATAGCACGCAAACTTTTAACAATCACGTCGCAGTGACGTCATCAAACTGTCTTGTAGATTAAAAAAAATATTATACCTAAGAGCTAATCACAATTATGTCTATCATCCACAGGTAATGGAAGTCAATTGAGTTGACACAAAATGGCAGCTTCCAGTCGGGTATCGATACAAGATGGCGGACAAGGGAATGTCAAACTACACCCGTATTTCGCGGCATTGATGTAAGTTGAAATTATTAAATTTAATCAACATCAGCGCAATATATGTCCCCACTGAGGGGCTCGGAGCCTACCCTAAGTTAAGGGTGACTAGGCCTTAGTTAACCACGCTGGCCAAGTGCAGTGACTTCACACATATCTTTGAATTACTTCTCAGATATGTGCAGCATCACGATGTTTTCCTTCACCGTAAGTTAGATAAATTTACATATGTAAATCAGAAATCGAAAAACACATTGGTAAATGGCGGGATTCGAACCCAGGACCTGCAGATTGCAAGTCAAGTGCTTGACCACTGAGCCACCGACGCTCTTAAATTAAATAGCCTTTTTTATCTTATACACTTTAGTTCCTTAGTTGGAACTATTCCAAGTTTTGAGTTCCCATGTTAGTTCTGCAGTTCCCTTAAATCCAACTAAATTTCTGATCGACATTCCGAAATTCATTATTCACGTTTTTCTCGACTTTATTTAAATAACGTTAACTTCCTTGCACTATTTAAAAAATTCAACCTCCTTACATAATAATCTAAGATGGTACTGGCCGGTAAGAAAACAATACCATGTGTATTATGAAACATAATTCCAATCGTTATATTCTACGATCAATTAGTCAAACAATTGCGCAATTTCTAGCCTCAACAATAGAAGTGTAACTCGCCCTCGAACCTAACTAACCTTTGATCTGTCAATCTCTTTTGTATATTGTCTAGCCAATGAGAATAGACAATTTGAAATTCGAATATTTTGCAAGATTTTAAAAATGGAATTTGATATTTTTATACGACAAATTCATATTTTAAAATTCGAATGAAAATTATTTCGAATTCGTTTTTTTTTAAATACTGAATTTTGTTATTTGACAGCTCGTTTTTTTAGATGTAATATTTTTGACTAACTGTCTTAAATTAGTAGCCTGTGTTCTTCCAGGCTTCTTCTATGTTCTATATGTATGCCAAATTTCATCAAGATCTATGCAGCCGTTCTGGAGATACCTTCAAATAAACATTTAAACCAGTGGTTCCCAAACTTATTTTGTCTACTGCCCACTTTGAGAATAAACATTTTTTAGCGCCCCCATATTAGATTTTAAGCAATCTTTTCATTCATATTAGTTGATGTTCACAAGTTTTTGTTAATAGCCGAGAGTACATGCAGTCGTTGTCTAAGAGGCCTCCTAGCTAAATAAAATTACAAATCAGCCCCAGGCCTCTACGCAACGCCACCATTTTCTTTCTGGGTCTCTTACCGCCCTTGAGACCTGCAGCATCCACAAGGGGGCGTTATCGCCCATTGGAAAAGACTGATTTATACAATCGCATTTATAATATTAGTAAGATTTAGCTAAAAACACCCATTCTACCACACCTAATTACTAACCTAATTATGATATCAGTATTTTAGGTGGCCAAACCTAGTTTTTATCAGATTTAGTTAATGCCGTGAAACTAGAAGTTAAATACTTATCTTGTTCAATATAGGTTATCATAGGAACATTTTATCAAATGGATTGAAGAGAAAGAGTTCTATAGAATAAGCATCATGAATTGACAAACTTTATTTTATTATTATTATTGTGAAAAATATAACGCATACAACGCCGGGTGAATATCATATGTATGAAGTTTTATCGTTATTTTTTGACGGTAGATGCAAAATTAGAAATGTAATGAAGGTAGTCAGTGAATCCTGTGAGGTTTATACTTACGAAAGAAAGAAAGAAAGAAAAGTTTTTATTATAGGTATTAAAGATTAAACCAAGAAACAATAACTAATATAAAAATTGTACATAACTGAGAAATTAAATTATATATAAGTTACTACATCAAAAAAATCAATTGCTGTTCGTTAGTTTTAGTCGTTAGTCGAGAACGGTTGAACGGATCTATCCTATCTTTATATAATGTGAGAAAAATTCTAATAATTGCGGGGAAAAGCTTAAAAACAGCCTTTTTCTTTTTCCCATATAAATAGCTGAATGGATCTCGTTGAAACTTGGCATATGAGGACATAGTCTGGACGAAGGCTAATAATTATGTTTTTTTTTTTTAATTACGAGCTAACGGATTCGCGAGAGACCAGCTATTTGTAATATAAATGTATGGAAGAGTTAATTAAATAGATAAAGATTGTGTAAATTCATGATTCTTTATTAAAAATCTTGTCCTAAGACAACTAAGAATTCGGTCAACGTGAAATCATTTTTAAAATTAAATACGTATATTTATTTTTAAAATATTTCGCCGTCATGTTGGAATCGCGCCCATTTCAATGTCAATGGGTCAATGACCTCGCACGTGTGGCAAGATGGCGGACGCGTGTGGAACGTGTATTGCCGCCTTTTCTTGTTTTATTTTAATTTCAAATATCAAGTTGCTAGTCGACCTTGAATATTGATTACATTGTAAGGAAATAAGATAATATTGACTAGCTATCACCTGTGACTTCGTCTGGTTGGAATAAAAATTCTTTCTTTTTAGAGTTACCTTTATACATCTAAGGTTGTCAGGTCTCCTTACCTAATAGCCGGACTGATGCAGTTTGGCCGGACATTTGGTTAGAAAGGCCGGACCTATATATTATTGAAGATTTTGCGATTGCGAAATGTAAAAAACGTAACAAAAGTCGTACAACCCGGACACCGTTTTGTCCGGACACGCTATCAAAAAGCCATCCTATGTCCGGCTTTATCCGGACATTCCCCATCTATATAGCTTTCATATTTATAGTATTAAAACGAATATTATCGTACTAATATTATAAATGTTTAGATGGATGTTTGTTTGAAGATATCTCCGGAACGACTTAACGGATTTTGATGAAATTTGGCACACATATAGAACATAATTTGGAAGAACACATAGGATACTTATTATGTTTTAATACGCACGGAGTCGCAGGCGACTGCTAGTTTACAACTAAACAAAGAAATAGTGCTTCATTTGTTATCACGCGTCTTTTCTTTATTTTTATTTAAATTTATAATTAATTACCAATATTGATATAGCACAGATGTTTGTTATGGCTTTGTAAGTTAATAGTCCGTTTACACATGTGTAAATATCGTTTTTCTCTTTTCAAATTAATTAAAAATAAAAGAAACAATTGTATGCAATACAAACCAACTGTTTGAAGGGCTTCAATTGTGCCTTTTAACATAGAAATATAAACATTTATTCTTTCTTGTTACAATTTTACAATAACATTGAAATTGACTCTAGTGACGTTTGCTTGACATACTAGTCGCCCGCGAATTCGTCATTGCGAAAATTGAAAAATCTTTATATATATAATTGTTCTGTGAGTGTGTATGTCACTGAACTTCTCTCAAACGACTGGAGCGATTTTGATGAAATTTTTTGTGTGTGTTCAAGGGGATCTGGGAATGGTTTAGATTCACAATTTTCATCAAATATTAACTTCATATTAATTTATTCAAATTAAAGACGTGCAGACAGGACAACGTCTGTCGGGTCCGCTAGTATCGTATAATATGCCTGTATGCAGCATCTACTTTTTTATATAATTAAATGGTAAACAAACAAGCTTTGGATTCGCTAAAATAGCGAAGCGACCGATGCACATAGTTATCTTAAGTCGCAGGCGACCGCTAGTATTTAAATGGAAAAACCTATTAGTAATTGGGGGATTCGAACCCAGGACCTGTTGACAAATTAACACCTGAGCCACCGAAACTCTAACTGCAATGTATTATATAAAGGCATATAAAATAAACTAAGGTCGAGGTTGTATATAAATAGATGTATATAAGCTTATCTTGTTTATATAATTAATTGGATCTTGTGGGACTTATATAACGGGTTATGTTATACGTTTGTCCGTAATAGTAACAATTCAAGGTCACGAAGCCGAAGATATAAAATGCATTGCATAGAATTTACTATATAATAAACTCTATGGTAAAATACTCGTACAAAACCTCCTTGTGCCTTTTAAAGGTTAAGTAGATGACCGAGGTTTGCTCAGTATTTTTTTTTAATTGTATTTTTTGGAAATTATATTTAAGTAGGAATTACTAATAAAATGATGAAATATGAATAATATTTTTCGATCTTACCCAAAGAAAAAGTTAAGTTTATGTTTAAGTTGATTATCGATAAAACACGAATAAAATGACATTTTCTAAATGATTCCTAGCTAGATCGAGTTATCGCCCCCGAAACTCCCTATATACTAAATTTTATAAAAATCGTTGGAGCCGATTCCGAGATTTATATATATATATATATATATATATATATACAAGAATTGCTCATTTAAAGATATAAGATTTATTAAAGACTAACTGTCGCAAGCGACTCCGTCAGCGCGAGACAAAAAAAAATCTTAATTAGTATCCTATATGTTCTTCCAGACTCTGTTCTACATCTATGCTAAACTTCAGTGAGCCATTCTGAATATACCTTCAAACAAACATCCATCCAAACATTCGTATTTGTAATATTAGTAAAAGGCACGAAAATATCGTAGATTTATGAATTTGGAACTGAAGAGAGGTGTGTCATCCCGCCAAATGGAGGTCCGTGGTCTGCCTACCCCTCTGGTTTACGGGCGTTACGTTGTAGATTATATACATTTTATAAGTTTATTTATTTTATTTTAAAATGGTTAAATCAAAGAATGATCCTTTCATTCCAATGCGACATCACAAAGAGCGTCAGTAGGTTAGAGACCGCTCTATCAATTTTGCTGCCGTCACGTAGTGATGTGCGATATACGATAACGCTATTATCGATACACCTCAGAAAATTCTTTATACAAGTAGAAAAAAAATATAGGTTATGTTACTTCTACATATTTATACTAATGTCATAAATACGAATATTAGATGGAGATGTATGGATGTTTTATAGAAGGCATCTCGAAGAGCTTCACGGTTCTTACTGAAATTTGGCATGGATGTAAACAGAACATAGCCTGGAAGAAAACATAGACTACTAATTCAGTTCATTTCGCGCGGACGGAGTCGCGAGCAACTGCTAGTTTACAATTAGTGTGTAGTATTTAGTGAAATCTGTCATTACTTATTATTGACTTTCAATAAACGTAAAATCATGATATTTTAATCAAACAACTTTATCGATAACGTTTATCAACAAATATCGATACATTGCCCCACTCTAAAGGCAATCGTCAGTAACAATTGAGGTCTATTTGCGTTCAGATAACGCGTTACCGAGGGCTCAATGTACGTATCTCGTTTGCACGTGGCATGTTATAAATTGGCAATAAGGGGGGAACAAGGGTGGGGATATTATTTGTAGGAAAACAATTACGTTCTTGAACTAAACCTTTTTATAATCTGTAACCTGTCATGATAGACTCCGTCCAAGCAGAATTAAAAACTTAATTAGTAACCTATGTGTTCTTCCAGAACGAGCTTCTTGACTTGCAATCTGCAGGTCCTAGGTTCGAACTCTGCCATATACCAATGTGTTTTTCGATTTCCGATTTACTTATTTATATTTATCTGACGTTCTTACGGTGAAGGAAAACATCGTGATGCTGCACATATCTGTGAAGAAATTCAATGATATGTGTGAAGTCACTGCACTTGGCACGCGTGGTTGACTATGGCCTATTCATCCTTAACTTAGGGTAGGTTCTGAGTCTCTCAGTGGGGACGTATACAGCTGATGATGTATTGTAACTTTCAGACGATGGTGTATATCTTCGATATGGACGACGGCCACTGTACTCCTGCACAGACTGATGACTGCACCAGTGCAGCCGATCACAGGTAACCAGCTCTTTTATTAATCTGTCAACTTATCAACAAAATTAAACTCTTGTTTTAGAAATCTATAGACTTTAAGACATTATTCGTTAGAATCCTTTGGCGCGAATGACGTGCTTTAGTTGCAAAGTCAAGTGTCAGAATGATTAGTGAGGGGACATAAACGTCGATACTTTAGTAAGGCTAGTGTTGCGATACACCGGCACTGTGTCGGATTTTCTTCCTAACAAGATAAAAAAGGATATATCGCCTCTTTACAAGAACAGTGTGAAATTTTCTAAAATACAGATATACAGAAGAGCAACCACCTGCCCTTATCCCTTTGGAGGGTAGGCACAGTATGTACTCAGCCTTATCGGTATAAACGGAAGACTTTTTTAGCGGGCTATTGCTTTTTTGTCTCAAATAAATAAGACAAAATTGACCAATTATCAAGTGCGATCGTAATATTCCACGGTATATCATGAGATAAAGTCGAATATGTTTAAACTAGCGGTCAACCGCGAATGCGCCCGAAATTACAAACATTAGTAGGCTATGTGTTCTTCCAGACTATGTTCTACATCTATGACATATTACATCGAGATATATTGCAGTCGTTCTGGAGATATTAGAGACTTAGGGTCCTTCAAGAAGCGAGCCTATCACTATCTCAAAGGCCGGCAACGCATCTGCGGTTCCTCTGGTATTGCTGATGTCCATGGGCGTCGTTGAACACCTCGGCGTTCCCGCTGCTCGTTTGCCCCCTTCTGTTATAAAAAAAAAGATATCTTCAAACAAACATCCATCTAAACATTCGCATTATTAGATTCACATATTCCAAGATATTTTCTACCAATGACCTTGACTAATATAGATAACGTATTACACAATAAAATATAATTATGTACATTAAATATTATCTACACGTGTTACTTATATAATGCATTATGTATTTACAGTGTTTATGTTATGTATTGTGGCGCGGAAAACATTTGAATTGCACTAAATGTCGCCCGCAACTCCGTCCGCGCGGAATTTTATAAAAATTAAGCCTATTTGTTGATATAAAGAGATGTATACAACCGTTCTTTAGATACCTTCTAACAAACATCCATCAAAACATACGTTTTTTTTTTATTTATCAAAAGGTGGCGAACTAACGGTCACCTGAAATCGCTGAAATAGCGAAGTGATCGTTGCCCATAGAAAGATGCACCGAAAGAAAATATTTTCCCTTTCCATGTATCATCTCACCCGAAAAGACACTTCCACTTCCTATCCTTTCCTTATAAGAGAAAGGGAGAAAGAGGAGTAAAATTAGGTCTCAGGGACGCACACTCATCAGACTGTAGTTGGAATAGCTTCCACTTGAGGCGTGTCTTCTGTGTGGTCGTGGTATTTCACCGGGCGAGCCAATTCGTGCGAACATGTTAAACCACTCGCTCTACCACTGTTATCGTATTTATAATATTAGATAAAGCGGATAATTCAAACATAAAGGCTTATGTTAGTTAAGATCGATTTCAGGGGAAATTGTGAGAAACATTTCTTTACAGTATGTTCCTTTTTAAATCTATTCTGTATCGTTATAGTCAAAGAGTCATCGGAGCAGAAATATATCTAGTCCTTCAAGGTTATATAATTGCAGTAACCAAGTGACTACTCACGTGTTGTTTTGAAACGTGATAGCTTGATCTAAGAATCATCTAACTACTATCTTACTAATATTATAAATGCGAATGTTTATATCAGTGGTTCCCAAACTTATTTTGTCTACTGCTCACTTTGAGAATATTTGTTAGCGCCCCCCATATTTTCACATATTTAAAAACCACTATAACTTCAAATTAAATTAATTAATTATTGTGACCTATATATGTATATTAACGGAGAATTGTAAAGGAAACATTTACTATAACCCGCAACTTGAGACCTGCAGCGCCCACAAGGGGGCGTTATCGCACACTTTGGGAAAGACTGGTTTAGATGGATGTTTGTTTGAAAGTATCTCCAGCACGGTTAACGGATTTTGATTAAATTTGGCATAGAGGAGAGGCACAGGCTAATTACGTCTTTTTCTTTATATTCAAGAGTCATGGGTATTAGCTAGGGTTTTGCTGATAATTCACAATAATTCTGAATATTTCTTTTTAATTAAGGGCAAAAGTCATAGGTTTATAATATGCGATGTATTCCAGGACCGAAGCCCCCGAAGCCACGTCCAGCTAGCAAGGAACATCTACATCCGGAGCCCCTGGTGGAATGCGTGGTGCTGTATCAGCCACCAATACACACGATGGACGTCATCTTCGTACATGGATTATATGGTATGACCAAGATTTAAATCTAAAACGACTATTAGGTAGGCTAATTTAATATTTGACATCTATCAATCTTACTAATATTATAAAATAGCTGTCGCCTGCGACTCCGTCCGCGTGGATATATAAAAAACTTTAGTGTAGCCCACCCATCCATCCACATCACATCCATCTAAACATTCGCATTTATAATATTAGTAAGTTAAATAAAAAGCAGTACTTCAAGGCATAAATTCGAAAAAAATGAATAAATAGTATCCTATGTCCGTCTCCTGGCTCTAAGCTACCTCCTCAACAATTTTCAGGCATATCGGTAAAGCCGTTCTTGAGTTATAAATAGTGTAACTAACATCACTTTCTTTTATATATATTAAATGTGTTTAAATGGATGGATGTTTGTTTGAAGGTTCTCGATGAAATTTCACATATATATAGAACATAGTCTGGAAGAACACATAGAAAGTTTTTTTTAATTAAGCACGGACGTAGTCACGGGCGACAGCTAGTATAATGGTTAATTCATACAATTACAAGAAGGTAACGTTAGTAATGTTATGAAAACATGTAAAGTTTCATAATACAGTATGGTCAGAAATGTACGTAATTTTGTAAACATATATGAGAAAGTTAGTACAAAACATTGCGACAAGGAAAATGAAACAGCCTGTGTAGTTTTTAAATTCCTCTTTATTTTGTAGCGAGCTTTGTATGGGTTAACATTTTTTAAACTTAATAATATTATAAATGCGAGTTACTGAAATCGCTGAAATAGCGAAGTGACCGTTGCACATAGACATACGCAATTGCATATGCGTTACCTACCTTTAATCCACGGAGGAGATGCACAGAAAGAAAATATCTTCCCTTTCCATACATCCTCTCATCCGGAAAGTCACTTCCACTTCCCATCCTTTACTTTTAAGAAATAAAGGACAAAAATTAAGTCTCCGGCCTCCTAGATGGATGTTTGTTAGAAAATCTCCAAAACGGCTCAACGAATTGCGATGAAATTTGTCATACATATAGAACATAATCTGGAAGAACACATAGGATGCTTATTTTTTTTTTAATTCGCAGATAGAGTCACAGGCGACAGCTTGTTATAATTTTTTTCTGTATCTTTCAGGGTCATTAGGTAACACATGGCGTCAAGGTGAATGGAGAATAAATTATAAAACTGACCCAATAAAAGTTCCATTACGTCGACCTCATTGTATACCAACCGCGTGCGCTTGTAAATGGGACAAAGATGAAAAAACAATTAAAACATGTGAATGCGATTTCTTAAACGAATCAAAATTATCAAATCGAATCGATTATAATGATAAAAAAATCGAAAATGATGATATATATGAGAACTATAGAAAAGTGTTGCCAGATGACGATTTATTTATAACAGAGAAATTTTATAATAATACGTTACTTGATCAAGTTGAAATTGTTGGTAATTTTGAGACGCAAGCTAATTTTGTACGCGATTTATTCGAGAAGAATTGCGAAGAGGATGTTATTAAGAACTGTCAATGTCAAAATGACAGTTGTCTTGGATGTGGTTGTGTGTGTGATGGATGTTATTCTCCTTGTTGGCCGAGAGATTGGATTAAAATAGATTTTCCAGGTGCTAGAGTTTTATCTATTAATTATACGAGCGATCCGTATTTATGGCGGCCATTGTGGATCAAAGAAAGCAAGAGGTAGGTTTTTTTAATATGGCAACTTAATTCATATTTTATTTCAATCTTATATTTTATCGTTATTTTTTAAATCACTGGATAATTTGAAGAAATATTATAAAACACGAATGTTAATGAAAAAAAAATTGTCTATGTTGAAAATATTTCTGGTCTGGATCTAGAAAACTATATTCAAACAAGGATATGTCCCAATAACAGTTAGTTGTCAAAAAATCGTGTAGAAAAACATGTCTTGACAGCTACAGTACTAAGTGTCAAATTTTGACAGGAGTTAGTGAGCTAATTTACTGTTAACTTATACCTACAGTTAGATATGTTCCTTACCTTTATCGGTATACGTCCGTTAGACCACACAGGACGCACGAATTAACTAATTCTTTATAACTTCTTACTAAATATGTTTAACAAGATTCTTTTCAATAGGCAAAGGTTACATGAACGCGCTGAACAAATGATGGAGCAACTTCTATTTCTAGGAGTTGGTGAGAAACCTATAGTATGGGTAGGACATTCGAAAGGCGGGTTGTTCATCAAACAGATTTATTGTGAAGGTAATTTCAACTTGACACGTTCCTGAGATAAAGTCTTGATAGACTACAGAGTGATCCTATAGATCAGTGGTTCCCAAACTTATTTTGTCTACTGCCCACTTTGAGAATAAATATTTTTTTAGCACTCCCATATTTTCACATATTTAAAAAGCACTATAACTTCAAATTAATTAATTATTGTGACTTATATATGTATATTAACGGAGAATTGTAAAGGAAACTTACTATAACCCGCAACTTGAGACCTGCAGCGACCACAAGGGGGCGTTATCGCACACTTTGGGAAAAACTTCTATAAGGGTACCGTTTTCTTCTAACGTATGGAATACTAAAAATGACCATACAGGCAACGTCTTCAAAACGCGACAATTTAAGTCGCTAAGTGACTTACGTGATACAACCATAGATTCTCTCAAACATCTTACTAATATTATAAATGCGAATGTTTAGATGTTTGTTTGAAGATATCTCTAGAACGTCTGAACGGATCTCGATGAAATTTGACATACATATGGAACATAGTCTGGAAGAACATGTAGGCTATTTTTTTAAAATTCCGCCCGAACAGAGTCGCGGGCGACAGCTACTATAGTTATAAAGTACTAACTATACTCGCGAGTCTTAAAAAAAGGTTCCTAAAGGGTTTTTCTAGCAATTATTAGAATTTTTCTCACCTTTTAAACCTTCCCTAGACCTCCACGAACATTTCAAGACCAAGATAAGATTCCGTTCAGTCATTCTCGAGTTGTAGCGAGACTAACAAACAGCAATTAATTTATATATTTCTGATTTCAGCTTACGATGCATATTTAAAAATAAACAATACCAAAGAAAACAAAGAAACAACTGAAACTAACCTACAGGATGTTCTAAATGGGAATATTGATAAAGAATTAGAAAATAATAATATTATAAAAGAAAATATCGCTAACGAAGCGAAATTGAGTAATATTATTAATTATGTATTCAGATTACAAAATAAAGATATGTTAGATAATAAATTACAAACTATAAGAATTGACGAACAAACAGATGATCACATTAATTATGAAGAAAATGATAATACCAAAGAAATTAATACTGAAATATCTTCTAATGAGAAAGGTATAAAAACATAATATTATATATATACTAGCGGAGCCGACAGACGTTGTCCTGTCTACACGTCTATAATTTGAATAAATTAATATGAAGTTAATATTTGATGAAAATTGTGAATCTAAACCATTCCCAGATCCACTTGAACACACACAAAAAATCTCATCAAAATCGCTCCAGTCGTTTGAGAGAAGTTCACTGACATACACACTCACAGAAGAATTATATATATATAAATTCTCGTGTCACAATTTTCGTTCCCATACTCCTCCGAAACGACTTGACAGATTCTCATGAAATTTTGTGAGCATATTGAGTAGCTCTGAGAATCGGACAACATCTATTTTTAATCCCGCGCGGACGGAGTCGCGGGCGACAGCTAGTATATATTAAATTTATCCTTTAATTCAGTATAAACTAGATAATCTAGAATCCAAAGGCAGTTATAAACTCTTGCTTTTATTTTTCTTTCATTTAAATATTCTTTTACCACTGTAAAGCTATCAGCTCATTATATTTACATCCACTGAGGGTCTCGGAGACTACCCTAAGTTAGGTCATAGTGAATGCTGACCCAGTGCGACTTCACATATATCTTTGAACTTCACAGATATGTGCATCAAGAGCGTCGATAACTCAGGGTTTAAACACTTGACTTGTAATCTGCAGGTCCTGGGTTCGAATCCCACCATGTACAATTGTATTTTCCTTTTCCGATTTACGGTAAAGGAAACATCGTGATGCTGCACATATCTGAGATATTCAAAGACATGTGTGAAGTCACTGCACTTGGTCAGCGTGGTTGACTATGACCTAATCACCCTTAACAGGGTAGGCTCCGAGCCCCTCAGTAGGGAGGTATAGTGAGCTGGTGATTTTACGTAAAAACACATTGGTACATGTCGGGATTCGAAGCCAGGAGCTGCAGATTCAATAAAGCAATATCACTGAGTAATTAAGAGATATTTAATATTTTCATAAAAACAATGATAACAATAATCACCTCTAGCTCTTGTACTAACATTAGTACAAGAGCTATATCTTACTTATATTATAAATGCGAATGTTTAGATGTATATATGTATTAGAAGATATCTCCGCAACGACTGAACGGATCTTGATGAAATTTGTCATACATATAGAACATAGTCTGGAAGAACACATAGGATACTTAATATTTTTTAATTCCTCACGGACGGAATGCTAGTTTTAGCAATAAATGGATGTTTATCTCTCTATTTTTCTCTTCTAGAAGATTCTTTAGAATTATCAAAGAGAGCCAATTTATGGAATAACAGTGTTGGCTTCATGTTCTACTCTGTACCACATCGAGGTTCTCCACTTGCGGATATAAAGACGCCGATTACAGCTAGAAGTATTGAATTACTGGAAATATGCAAAGGTAATCTTACTAATATTATAAATGCGAATGTTTAGATGTTTGTTTGAGGGTATCTCCAGAACAGCTTCATAGATCTTGATGAAATTTGTCATACATGTAGATCATAGTCTGGAAGAACACATAGGCTACTTATTAAATTTTTATTTTAATTCGGACAGTGTCGCGGGCAAAAGCTAGTCTTACTAATATAAATGCTATACTTTGTATGGATCATACATGTAGAACATAGTCTGGAAGTACACATAGGCTATTTTCTTTAACGTGCAGACGGAGTCGCGAGCGACAGCTAGTAGTATTATAGATGGATGTTGATGAAATTTGTCATACATATAGAACATAGTCTGGAAGAACATATAGATTTCTATGAGATTTGATTAACATATTTACTAGAAATATGACATAAATATTCCCAAATAATACTTAGTAATATTATACATCCTGTATTCATTCCAAACGAACAAAGTAATGTGAAAAAGGTAGTTTATGACGTAATTTCTATACCTAATTTCCAGATTGCTCTTTATTATTGGATCTACAATCACGTTGGCTTCAAGCCACAGAAAAGTCCCAACCAGCTGTCAACAGTTTGGTGGAAACTTGCAAGACACTCATGTCTTTACTCTGGCTAAGGATCGTCAGTGTTGATTCTGCTGGTAAGTTACACTCAAAGATGTCACTAAGTGACATACTAAACCTTACGACTAACACAATGTCAGTATAACAGAAATACCTTTTAAATATATAAAAAAGTGTCTAGACAGACTGACGGACAATAAAGTGATCCTATAAGGGTTCCGTTTTTTTCTTTCGAGGTACGGAACTTTAAAAAGACGTTTTCTATGTTTATACCAAACTTCATTCAAATCTTAGCTGTTCTGGAGATAGCTTCTAACAAATTGCTGCAAAACAAAACTTATAAGGAAAGGATGGGAAGGGGAAGTGGATTTGATCGAGGGAATGACGCATAGGAAGGGGAAATATCCTCATTCTATGTCTATGGGCAATGATAGTTTCGCTATTTTAGCGAATTAAGGTATCAGTTGACTCATTTGTCCCATAAATATTTGTAATAATTTTCATAATCTCATCTCTCAGACCCCGGCATCGGCGCACTGTCCGGTGTCTCAGTAGACCACAGAGAAATCTGCAAACCTTCCAGTAGGAAATGTCTTTTATATCGAGAATTAAAGATTCTAATACAGAATGCTCTTAACAAACATAAAAGCTAGAAAGGACTGAAAATACTAAATTTGCGTAAACATATCGCGTTCAGTAGAAATAAGAAATGATTACTGTCTGTATGTATCACTTTGATATCAAAATAATTGATTTAACACGTTAAATGCCACTCCGGTCACCGGTGACCGTGCATCTGCATTTAAACGCCGCGTAGGACACTTATGGACGTAGGTTTTTTATATCTACGAAATCCAGCTTCTGATTGACCTTCTTCTAGTGCCTCTTCAGTCTTGAACTTTAACCCTTAATTCGACGAAAATTTTTGTAGCAAAAAACTGTTTTTTTTAATAAAGTCATACTTACGTAATTTTCTCTAAACTAGTTTAGTAAATTTTTTAAATTAGTTGTTCGTCACACTGGAGACCATCGAATTAAGGGTTAAACTAGATGTATTTTGACGATTCGTTATTAAGCATATTTCCAGCTAATTTTTTTCTATTTTTACTATGGCATTTAACGTGTTAAATGTAATTTGGTTAGAGAAAGGAAGGCTACTTTAACGCGAATAGATTTTAAGGTATTGAAAGTTTGTAAAAACTTAAACTTTCCAAAAAAACCGTAGACAAATTACAATTTCTAGTTTTATTGAATTCGAATATATATGTCATTGTTTCAACAAAGTGGAAACTTTCAGCGGGACAATAATCTCGCAACTACACGAAAATGATCATAGACAATCCAATTCAAATCATTATTCACAGATTTTTATATTAATATATCTGTCTGGATGTATGTCATGCATATTAAAAAAAATATATATTTTTTTATGTTTCGAAGTGTTTTTACGAAAAAAATTACAGTTATCAAGAAAATATAATAAGTACACGAGTTTTTTTTATGCTGTTTCTAATATTGATTAAAAATTTCTATGGAAACGTAACATTTTTGGACTATTCAAAGTCACATATACTGTCGCGCTGAACCACCCTGTATAAACAATGGGACCTAGGATGTTACCTTGTGGTACTCCTCATTTAAAATCAAACTGTGATTGTATTTCATTTTAGTGCAATATATATGTATTAATATATAATATATTGTATGTTATTTACTTTTAAGATATACAGCGTGTTCCAAAATTCAACGATATAACACTAATGGTGTATAGCCATATCATATCCATTTTTTTACACGGTTACATGTCAAACTTGATCAAAAGTTAAAATGTTGTAAAATTTCAAGAAAACATACAAAGTAAATTATTTTTTGTGCTTAAATTACGAATGTTTTGGTCCAATTTTTTAACTGATTTAATAGCTATGTTACTTAGGAAGCTAATACAAAAATTGCAGGAATATCTTCATATTTGTAGCGACAGTGTCTTATATGGGGGAGGGTATCAAATTTTAAGAAAAGTTACAAAAGTTAATGTAACTTTTAAACAAAAAGCGTTAGATTTTTTTTAGTATTTTCCCCGTGTAGTTATCGATATGGCTATACACAGTTTCCGTTTTATCGTTGTATTTTGGGACACGCTGTATAATTAAGATTTGTGTGTATTTTTAAGGTTTTTACATGTATTATGACATCGTATGCATTTTTCTTCATCTATCTATATTTTTTATTTCATTAATAATTAAAATTTATTTCTTTTGACGATTAATTACAAAGAAATAAAATATATAATATTTGAACTGACATTTATTAAATGGATAGGTTATAAGCCATAGTATTTTGTGCCTAATTGATTTTCGTAATTATTCTTTGATAGCGTTTAATCGTTGGTTTCTGAGATGAAAATGTGTTTAATCTTTGAGAAAAGATAGGTTTTATAATTGGATTTCGGTCTCAGAAACTCACGATAAGTCGAAACGAAGCAAAAACTATCTATTCTAAGCAAATAAACTACCCTTTAGAGCTGATTATATAATGTTTTTAGATATCTTGACGGCTCTTTAACTTTGCACATGCGCAGAAGCGTTGCAACGTACAAGACCTTGAGCCGGCAGGATATATGAAAAGTGTTATACCTAATATTTCATCAATTATTCCGATCTCTAGATGTTACTCGTAGTTAAGTAATAATAGAATTTAAACAGTATAATTGCTACGCGTGCACAATAACATGATAATCCGGCTCGAAGGACCATATTGGAATTGCTGATTGTTTTGGAATTGAAAAAAGTTTATGGTTACGCTTTCTCTTGTTAGGAGTTAAAGGACATAATTTACGTCTTTACTTCAATATTTTTTCTTCGTCAAAGAGTCTGTAATCTGTCAACGATTATATTTGCGTTCAAAAGCTTCTTTACTGTGCATTACATTCTCTTTGACAAAAAAACTATAAAAATACAAAACCGTATCATCTTGTCATGTTATTGTACACGGGTAGCAATGATAAATTCCATACAAGTCAATTATAGCTAATGTAAGCATTTAGTTATTTGTTTTATTATTAAATAAATTTATCTTTAAACTGTTTTATTTTAATATGATTTCAAATCTTACAATAATAAGTAAGTTTTTTAGTAAACTTCAAATATATTATCAATTAGTCTGTTTTTAAGACAATTTTTCAAACCTAGAACTAATGTATACAAAATAAACATAGAATAGTCTGGAAAAACACACTTTTTTTTAATTCCTCGTAATAAAAAGCCACAAAATTTGATTTTTTGATATTGAAATATTCAATCTTAAAACAAATATCACCAACACAATGACTTTTTATATAATACATTTCTTTGACAATTAATCACATAATACCTGACTGACTAAACGTGGGTTTCTAAGATCAGATTAATAGGAAGACCAATAACAGGGATCTATATATATAAAAGAAAGTGGTGTTAGTTACACTATTTATAACTCAAGAACGACTTTACTGATGTCTGAAAATTGGTGAGGAGGTAGCTTAGAGCCAGAAGATGGACATAGGATACTATTTATTCATTTTTTCGAATTTATGCCTTGAAGAGCTGTTTTTGATTTAATTTACTAATATTTTAAATACGAATGTTTAGATGGATGTGATGTGGATGGATGGCTACACAAATTAAGTTTATTATAAAGAAATATTGGTCTCGGAAACCTACGGTAAGAGGTTAATAAGTTTTATCTTAATACTTGTCAGAAACGTCTTGACTGATTTTTATGACATTTTATATGCATATTTAGTAACTAAGAATCATCTCGGAACGGAGTCTTTGGTGACAGTTAATAAATATTTAAATTTATTTGTGATTTCCTACAGCCTGAACTAATGAACCAATTTTGACAAATAAGGTGTCATTCGATTCGTATTCTTCCCCTCAGTGTCATAAGTTAATTTAAATTGGTATAAAACACATATGAGGTAAAATTCTAATGTACCAAAAAACGATTTAAAACCTGAATCGCCATTGATATTAGTCTTCGAAGATAAAGTAGCTAATATTTTTTGTTAAAAAACAAAATTTAAAAAATCTGCCTTTAGAGCCCGAGTCAGTCAGGTTTTTTTTAAATTAAAGTAAAATACATAATTTATACTTAATATAACAAAGAAAAACATTTATACTAAAAAAATATCACTTAATTAAAAGATTTACAAACAAAATACAGTAAAAACCGGTTACAACGACATAGATGGTATCGGCGCTATTAAGTCGCAATAACAGATAGCCATATTATTACTATCGTATTTTTTTAACTTAGTTGTGTAGCATTCAGACGGATTGTACTATTTTGGTTTCCATAACCGATATATCTCCAAATTGTGTCGTTATAACCGATTTTTACTGTACATACGAACCTCTATAAGCGAGAGTCATTGTCTTGTCAAACCTCTATAAGCGAGAAACTCGGGTTAGAGAGAAACCTCTATAAGCGAGAAACTCGGATTAGAGAGAAACCTCTATAAGCGAGAAACTCGGGTTAGAGAGAAACCTCTATAAGCGAAAAGCTCGGGTTAGAGAGAAACCTCTATAAGCAAGAAACTTGGGTTAGAGAGAAACCTCTATAAGCGAGAAACTCGGGTTAGAGAAAAACCTCTATAAGCAAGAAACTCGGGTTAGAGAGGAAACTTTATAAACGAGAAACTCGGGTTAGGGAGAAACCTCTATAAGCAAGAAACTCGTGTTAGAGAGAAACCTCTAAAAGCGACATAAATATCGCGGTTAGGACTCTCGCTTATTCAGGTTCGAATTCTACTCATCTGTCACCTAAATAGGACACAACCCAGATCGTATAACACAATGCAGGCGAAAAAAAAACTATCTTTATTACTTAATATACCATTGAAAGGATTCAGATAAATTGCGCGAAAAGAGCTGTCAGTCTGACAGCTGTCAAAGTGACGTAACGTAAGCTCAATGAGTAGAGCTTAAGTAGAGATTCGAATTAATTTTAATATCTACTTAATTTTAAAATTTTATAGATAAACAAGAATATATGAAATTGTACTGGGGCATAGACTTTGACCTAGTTAACTTAGGGTACACTCAGAAACCCTCAGGAGACGTATAGTTCACAAATACATCTTGAATTAAAATTAGCACGATTTTTATATATATCCTTAGCTATGTTTGTTTTAAAATCAAATATTCATACATTTGGATTATTAATAAATACTTTAATTAATTTTAAATCTAATTTCCTATGATTATTAATAAAAATTAGTAAGTACGTTATAAACAACTATATTAATTTGTACGTGATTTAAAATTAAACTTTGGTCTAAGTTTTTTACTAAATATAAGATCTTTATTGTGCTAAATTTTAATTTAGATTTATCTAATGCTATTCTACTAATACTAATATTTTATATACTAAATTGATTTATATTTGATTAAGATTTATTTAACGATTTAATATTTGATTTATTAATATATGAGCTAAATTTTAATTTAGATTTATTAGACGAATTAATTTTTAATTTGCATTTATTGAATGTTACATATTTTAATATTGATTTATTTAATGTTACATATTTTAATTTACTTTCATTGAATGTTACATTTTTAATATTGATTTATTGAATGTTACAAATTTTAATTTATTTTTATTGAATGTTACATTTTTAATATTGATTTATTGAATGTTCCAAATTTTAATTTATTTTTATTGAATGTTACAAATTTTAATTTATTTTTATTGAATGTTCCAAATGTTAATTTATTATATTGTGCTTAATATTATTTTAATATCAATGCAAAATCCAAAGCCTCTCAATAGCTTCGTGTACGCTTGCACGGTGTTACAAACGAATGGGTTATTGTCCGTCTAGGCAAACAGTGCTCTGGGATCTGGATTTACAATATCGCATACAAAATGATCTTGTTCTATAGGTTTTTTTATCCAACGACCTAGATTTGCTTTTTCAAATGCTATTGTTAAACGTTCCTTTGCAGCCTGAAAATTAAATGACGAGTGAAAGAGAGGAAAGATAGTTTCGTCTCTTTCGTGTAACGTGTGATAATTTTATTAGACTAGATTCTAGGGTCTAGTTTCTGGAAAAGAAATCTCGTCTATGAGTAAATTTCCAAACTTAAGGAAATTCTGTTTTTTATGAAAATGTATGTATTTTTTATGTATGTATAATGTGATGAGTGAGAGCGTCGGTAGCTCAGAGGTCATGCACATGCAATCTGCAGGTCCTGGGTTCGAATCCCGTCATGTACCAATGTGTTTTTCCATTTTCTATTTACATATGTACATTTATCCGATTTTACGGTGAAGGAAAACATTGTGATGCTGCACATATCTGAGAAGAAATTCAAAGATATGTGTGAAGTCACCGCACTGGGTCAGCATTCACTATGACCTAACTTAGGGTAGGCTCCGAGACCCTCAGTGGGGACGTATAGTGAGCTGATGATGAGTGAGGTGTCATTCGATTCGTATTCCTTACGGGAGTGTCATAGTCTTTTGGTTCTGCAATAAAAAGTGTTATTAATATAATAAAATCAGACCTGGTATGTAGTACATATTTGTTTGGCTTCAAAATATTGCATATTGGCGAGGTCTGCAGGCGGCTTGATCTCTTTGGGACCTTCGTCTGACTCCTAGAAAATATTAAGGTACAAATATATTTTATAATGTTAGGTAGAAAATCCGACACAGTGCCGGTGTATCGCAACACTAACATTAAAATGTCGACGTTTATGTTCCCTCACTAATCATTCTGACACTTGACTTTCGTCCAAAATAATAACTAATACTGTCTAAAAGTAAGGACTCTATCAGTTGTACTGTTCCGAGACCCCTTTAGTGCGTTATTTAGTACGACTGAGTCCCTTAATATCGCACTCTAAAGGGACTGTTAAGGACCCCCTTTAGTAACACGTAGTATAGTATATTAGTGTTTAAGCGTCAATAGCCTAATGTTTAATGGTACGGATTTCCAATCACGAGGTCGGAACTTCGAATCCCGTCTCACTAGTATCGTATATTCTAGCAGAAGCCTAAAGCTTAGTTTTTTTTTTTTATTGACGGATAATTTCTATCCGTCTTCTATTCTACTTCTGACGCTCGGTCAGAATCCTTTTTTGCTTTTAGTTCTTTATTTACATACATTTTTTTTTGCTTACAATATTAATGTCTTATATTTAAATACAGGTTTATTTATAGTTTCTATGATCTTTGCTGTTTACATTTTTTGTGTTTACAAGTTCCTATTTCTAATTATTTATTAATAACATTTATAAAATTTGTTTCTTTCTTACTTCTAGTTATAATATCTAAAATTGTTAGCTTAAAGTTTTAAAAACTACTGAAGTGCTAAATCTATTTTATGCCTATATCTATTTCTAAAACTTAAAGTATCCATTGGTTTTTGTTCTTTTTAATAATATTTTTTTTTATATACTAATCTTAGTAGCGAACATTTTGTATATATAATCTCTATTTCTAACTTAAGAATTTGATTATTAACATTACTAAAAAATTTCTTAATTCTAATCTTAGCTGATAAAAATATGTTTGTTTAAGAATAAAGTTTTTACTAAGTGCTACATCTTATTTATACTTTTTTTTTGTGTTGTTACAAGAAATATAAATTAACAAAAATAAGCTAATATTAAGTTACCTGAGGTAGTAACGGCAGCTTGGTGATGAGGTACTGCCATCGTGCGAACATACTCTGTTTGCACAACAACGAGGGCTGACCTGAGTCTAGTTTGCCTGTGGTCGCGTTTATTACTTCCGGCATCTAGATTTTATGTTTTAGACTTTAGTCATTATATGAATGCTAAACTTAGTACTAACTAAAACATGGAAAACATCGCGATGCTGCACATATCTGAGAAGATATTCAAAAGATATGAGTGAAGTCACTGCACTTGGCCAGTGTGGTTGACTATGTCCTAGTCACCCTTAACTTAGGGTAGGCTCCCAGCTCCTCAGTAGGGACGTATAGTGAGCTGATGATGACTTACCGGTGATGTACAGCACCAACAAACACTTATAGAGGGTGCTTTAGTTGCTGTGCGAGCTTCAGTACTAGCAGCTCGAGCTAACTTCAATCTTTGAAGTCGGTATGGAGGTGGTAAAGAAGATATATAATTCTCGATACGACCGCATATTGCCCTGTTTGGGAAATTATATTGTAAAAACCTATACAAGGGGTGTAGCACGAAAATTTACCAAACAGTATTCGATAACACATGATATTAGGCTGTATAAATCGAATATTTAGTCGATAACGTTACGAATACTTTCTCGTAAATTTTCGTGCTAAACCACCTGTACATCTAAAGAAAGTTGTGTTAGTTAAACTATTTATAACTCAAGAACGGCTTTACCGATATGCCTGAAAATTGTTGAGGAGGTAGCTTAGAGCCAGGAGACGGACATAGGATACTATTTATTCATTTTTTTTTCGAATTTACGCCTTGAAAAGTTGCTTTTTATTTAACTTATCTATTTATTAAGTTTTTTTATATATTCACGCGGTGGGAGTCACGGGCGACAGCTAGTTTATAATATTAGTAAGGAGGTATGTTTTACCCAAAAAAATTATTACTACTTTAGAATTACTGTAAACCAAATAGACTTACATAAGCAAGAGTTATTTTCCTATAACCTAAATACTAGAAAAAAGTTGGTATGATGTAAAAGTCGGCACAGAAAATGTATAATGAATTACAAACTTTACGACCGCTTGTGATTTGCTGCGAACTTATTACAAACGAGGAAACTAGGGTATAACATGTTAGCGAACGTACCCATACTACGTGACCCGTTTAGGGGGGGAGCGTAGTCTTTAAAATACTACGGTCAGTCACAGGAGCGGGGGGGGGGGCAGGTTTTTGTGATGTAGTCGTTACTTGTTTTTTTCATAATGTTATACATAATTCACTAGTAATTTAAGAAAGTGGGGGGGTCTTGGCATGAACTACGAGTGGTCACTGAGGGGAGGGAGGGGTCGAAAAAACTAAAAAAAAATAGGTCACGTAGTACTTTAAATTGTGTAATATCTAATATAAAAGGTGGCAAATGAGCGAGAGCTTTGAAATCGCTGAAATAGCGAAGTGACCGTTACCCATAGACATACGCAATTGCATGCGTTGCCTACCTTTAATCAACGGAGGTGCACAGAATGATATTTTCCTTTCGCATACATCCCCTAATATGGAAAGTCCATTTCCACTTCCCATCCTTTATGAGAAAAAGGCTGGGAAGGGAAAGAGGACTAAATTAGGACTCCGAGACGCACACTCATCAGCGTGTAGTTGGAATAGTTTCCACTTGAGGCCTGTCTTCTGTGTGGTCGTAGTATTACCAGCGTGCCAATTCGTGCATGTTAAAGCTATACAACTGTTAAGTTTGGATATAACTATACATATGAGTAACGATATGAAACATTGCATTCTCTTATTACTAACAGACATTGTAAGGAACAAACACGTTTAATAATTGTATCGATTTTAGCGCGAAAAGTATTTTTAAATCAGCGTTTAAAGATTAACATTTATTTAGTGATTTGATTTTTTTAAAGTGTTAAATAGACTTAATCGTAGTATAATTTTTTGTGTGTTTTAAGTTTGAAAATGCAATCCTTGCCTTTAGTCTGCTTTCTTTCAATTATACGTAAGTAAATAATAATTTAATAAGAAATTCAAAGATATGTGTGAAGTCACTGCACTTGGTCAGCGTGGTTGAATGGCCTAATCACCCTTAACTTAGGGTAGGCTCCGAGCCCCTCAGTGGGGACGTATAGTGAGCTGATGATGATGATATGATAATTATAGTAGCTGTCGCCCGCGACTCCGTCCGCTCGGAGTTATAAAATATTACAAGCCTATGTGTTCTTCCAGACTATATTCTATATGTATGCCAAATTTCATCAAGATCCGTTTTGGAGAAACTTTCAAACATCCATCCATCTAAGCATTCGCATTTATAATATTAGTAAGAAGTAAGATAAGTGCAGTTTTGTTTGCTGTATTCAAATTTCATATTTATCAGTAGTCTATCATCCCTTCCTATCCTTTCCTTATAAGAAAGAATATAATACAATGTTCTAGAAAAGGTCTCCTCCCTAGCCAAATGTACCATCCCTTCCTATCATTTCCTTACAAGAAAGAGCATAAGACAACGTTCTAGTAGTTCCAGTGCGTTTGGACTCAGGTGTATTTTAGTAAGTAAGAATCTAACATAACCCTGTCCTTACACCGAAAAGGATTACCAAGATGTCCCCCGATACAAAAAAAGGGTCTTAAAAGACAAACAGACGGACAACAAAGAACGTCAGATAGATGTACTTATTTGTGAAAAACACGTTGGTTTAGTCGGGATTCGAACCCAAGACCTGCAGACAAGTCAAATGCTTAAACCCCTGAGCCACTGACGATCTCATCATATTTATACTAAGACATAATTAAGTTATAGAATTTTAACATCTATTTCTTTAGACATAAAGCTGTATTTAAGTTAACTATTTGAACTAGAATACTTTCTTTAGGAAGAAAAACGCGTAATCGATAGTAAGTACATAATAACTCTCGCATGACTACATAACTTACGTACACGATCGGAAATAAATAATAGTACGTGATTCAATGTTCTAATTAGGACCTTTAATAGAACATTGCTTTTTTAGGGTTCCGTACCTCATAGAAAAAAAACGGTACCCTTATAGGATGACTTCGTTGTCCGTCTGTCTGTCAAGACCCTTAGTATCATCATCAGCTCACTATATGTCCCCACCGAGGGGTTCGGAGCCTACCCTAAGTTAGGGGTAACTAGGTCATAGTCAACCACGCTGACCAAGTGCAGTGACTTCACACATATGTTTGAATTTCTTCTCAGATATGTGCAGCATCACAATGTTTTCCTTCACCGTAAGTTAGATAAATGTACATATGTAAATCGGAAATGGAAAAACACATTGGTACATGGCGGGATTCGAACCCAGGACCTGCAGATTGCAAGTCAAGTGCTTGACCACTGAGCCACCGACGCTCTATCATATCAACATTGAAAAAGGCAATGTCTATAAAATGTAAAATTATTAATTTGCATCTTAACAAATCTTGCAATTTGTTACGGTCCAAAGGATAGGTATTAGGGTCGTTGATTATTTTGTAAGTAAACAGCGCATGCGACTTAATGGACCATTTATATTTACATAACGTTATAAATGGCCTATTGTCATGTCCTTAAGTGATTAGGTCTTAGTAGAATAGGGCGCGATTGGGTAACTGCCCAGGGCGGACAGAAATGGGCGTCACAGGCCTAACTAAGCCTGTACTATAGCAATTGACGTCGACGATTCAATGTTATGTATGCAACACACATCTATATATATCTTTATATATATAATTCTTCTGTGAGTGTGTATGTCACTGAACTTCTCACAAACGACTGGAGCGATTTTGATGAAATTTTTTGTGTGTGTTCAAGGGGATCTGGGAATGGTTTAGATTCACAATTTTCATCAAATATTAACTTATATATTAATTTATTCAAATTAAAGACGTCTAGACAGGACAACGTTTGTCGGCTCCGCTAGTATATATATAAAAATCAATTTATGTATGTTAGTCTCGCTAAAACTCGAGAACGGCTGAACGGAATCTTATCTTGGTATTGAAATGTTCGTGGAGGTGTATTGATGGTTTAAAACTTGAGAAAAATTCTAATAATTGCCGGGGACTAATTAAGTTTTTTCATTCCACGCGGACAGAGTCGCAGGCGACAGATAGTATACAATATTAGCTTCGAAGATTTACTTAGCTTTGTATACAGAGGGGCTAAGTGGAGTGAAAATTAGATTCCTTTCAGAAATTGCGGAGATCCAATCCAAGACCTACTTCTCCTAATGCGCGAATGGCACACTTTTATTATAAAGTCAAGTGTCAGAATGATTAGTGAGGGGACATAAACGTCTACATTTCAGTAAGGCTAGTGTTGCGATACACCGGCACTGTGTCGGATTTTCTTCCTAACAGTATTTACTATATGTTCCAGATCCGCCAGAAATCCAGTTTGAAAATGCCGTACTACAGGCCTCGCCTATCCATAAATCTAAGTGTCCATATGTCAGAAAAACCCATGACATAATATTCGAATTGTTTACCAGGTAAGTAAGTTCAAAGGTTTATCTTGAATATGACATTGTCAAAAGAATTTATTTATTGAAAACTGTGTACTGTGTACATAAGAGCGTCAATGGCTCAGGAGTCAACTTGACTCGCAATCTGCAGGTCCTGGGTTCGAATCCATGTACCATTGTGGTTTTCCATTTCCGATTTACGTATGTACATTTATCCGACGGTGAAGGAAAACATCGTGATGCTGCACATATCTGAGAAATATCAAAGATATGTGTGAAGTCACTGCACTTGGCCAGCGTGGTTGAATATGGCCTAATCACCCTTAACTTAGGGTAGGCTCCGAGCTCAATGGGGACGTATAGTGAGCTGATGATGATGTGTACATTATTATAAAGTTACAGGCATTTATAGACAGCTACAACAGTTAGATAAACATAAGTGTTATTCCAGACTATATCTGTTCTAAATCTCATTCAGATCTAGATTTATTAGTAGAGGCTAGCGATATCTGTTGCATGAAAAAACCTCGAACAGTCCAATACCACGACCAAAAAGAAGACACAGGTCAAGAGAAAGTCATTAACCGTTTCGTAGAGTTTACTTGGCGAAGGCCTTAATTTAGTCTTTTTTCTCTTCCCACTCTTTACTTATATGTATGAGATAGAGAAGAGTAATTAATTTAATTGGCTGAGTAGGGAAAGATTCTCTTTCTGTGCGTTCCCTCCTTAATTTAAAGGTTTTTTTTCTCTATATCATAAGGTGGAAAACGAGCGAGCGGCCACCTGAAATCGCTGAAATAGCGAAGTGACCGTTGCCCATAGACATACGCATTTGCATATGCGTTGCCTACCTTCAATCTACGGAGGAGAGGATGCACAGAAAGAAAATATCTTCCCTTTCTATGCATCCTCTCATCCGGAAAGTCCACTTCCACTTCCCATCCTTTTCTTATAAGAAAAAGGGTAGGAAGGGAAAGAGGACTAAATTAGGCATCCGGGACGCACACTCATCAGACTGTACGCGGAATAGCTTCCACTTGAGGCGTGTCTTCTGTGTGGTCGTGGTAATTAACCGGACGAGCCAATTCGTGCGAAGATGTTAAAGCTCGCTCTACCACTGTGAAAATATAAATCGGCAATAAATCTGCAATTGCGATTCCAAGTGACCATTGCTCGTTTACCACCATATAACATATAAAAAGTCACGGCAATGGAGTTCTACAATTAAAATTTCTTTCAGGCACAATCCAATAGTATATCAAGAATTAATATTAAACGATGATGAGAAACTGTTCGCATCAAATATCGACTTCAGTGCCCCCACAGTGATATATTTCCATGCTTTTATGGAACAAGCCACGGATGGATCAGCACTATTGGTCAGAGAAGGTGAGGTTTACTATACTATAGTTGTTAAAGTGTAAGATTATAAAGACGAACCTGGATAGACTTTTTCTCGACAATATTTCATAAATTAATGAAATTGTTTAAGCTTTCGTAAGATATTTAGGAAAAACGGTTATACTCAAGTATAGTTAATTTGATATTGTCATCAAGTAGATTCAGACCCGTTTGGGGCCCTTAAGAGTGATTACTAGGTTGGCTACTGTGATCCAGTTTTTAAGCGTTTCACCGGATCGGTACAGAAACTATACCAGGTTCGATCCTCGTATGTACATTTATCCGATGTTACGGTGAAGGAAAACATCGTGATGCTGCAGATATTTGTGAAGCAGTACTGAACCAGTGTGGTTGACTATAGCATAGTAACCCTTAACATGGGTAACCGACAAGGCCTCACAATAGTCGTTGCAGACATTGGATTAACTTTACGTGAGTTAATTTTTAGTACGTTTTTTTTTAATTATTGTCATATTTCAGCGTATATGCAACGTGGTGATAACAATGTGATAATTGTGGAGGCACAACGTTTAGAAGCAGGGCCTTGGTATTTTACCGCGGCTGAGAACACTTGGTACATAGGGCGTTATGCTGCACAATTTATTGATTATTTAGTATCAAGGTGGGTTAATCTGTCTATACACTAACTGAGTCCCTTATTACCAAACATAGGGACCCTAAATAGTATTCGATTGTTTGGGATAGGAAATAACGTGCAATGAAAGCACCACTTAAATATTATTGGATTATTATTTAATAATACTCTTAAGAAGAAAAACCAACACTATACCGATGTATCGGCGCAACACTAGCCCTAATAAAATATTAACGCTTATGTCCCCTCACTAATCAATCTGACCCTTGACTCTTACTAATATTGTATCAAAGTACTAACATTTTTTTATAAGATATTATTTATATTATCTTCTATTTTATGGAGTCTTATAGATTTCTCGTTTATTGTTACGCGTATACAATTGTTATTTAATTAATTTATATAATCTCAAGTATATTGTTACAGAGGTTTGAATCTATCCAAAACCCATTTTATCGGACACAGTCTGGGCGCCCAATCGGCCGGAGTCGCGGGAGCTTCGCTTACATCAGGTCAGTTGTAACCCTACTAAGTTGATATCAAAATTGGGTCCGTTACTATCCATTAAGATATGGATAATGGATACTTTTGTTCTCAGGTCGCGTAGCCAGGATTACCGGATTAGATCCAGCGCTCCCACTCTTTGACAAGGTTCCGTTGGAACAAAGACTTGACCCATCTGATGCGGAATTCGTTGACATAATACATACTGACTCTGGGATTTTCGGTAATTAATTTTAAATGTAATTAAATAGTTTGCACTATTTTTTATTAAATTAAACTTTGAAGAAGGAATATAGTCTTACTAATATTATAAATGCGAATGTTTGGATTGTTGAATGGATGTTTGTTAGAAAGTATCTCTATAACAGCTGTATGGATCCTGCTGAAATTTGCCATAGTTTTAAATCATAGTCTGGAAGAACACATAGGGCCCTAATTTAGTTTCTTTTATTTCCACGCAAACAGTCACGAGCGATAGCTAATTATTAATAATTATTGAATCTATAGGATTCCCGGGACCCATTGGTCATGCAGACTTCTATCCTAATGGTGGTCAAAGCCCTCAACCTGGATGTAACTTGGAAGTAGTGTTGCCGCAGCAACTATTGTTAAATAAATGTAAGTAAATCAAATAATTTATACAATAACTTTAAAGAACACATTAAGTCGATAAAATTGTTAACAAAATTACGAAGGGCCTTAGAGCCTTAGCCTAGAGAGAGGCCTTAAACTTAAACTAAGTTAAGTCCCTCTAAGGCCCTTTTGTACAAAACAACGTAAATCTTCAACACTAGTTTACCCTTGCTTCGATAGTATTAAGTTAAGTAAGCTAGCAATAACTTATGAACAAAATGTCAGTAACGTTTGCCTGTGTACGTAAGTTGCTTGTCGACTAAAATCACCGAGTTTCAAAGACTTACGTTGCCTAGTGTAAATGCCTTATGTTTTTGGATTTAAGATTATAGATTCACTTTTGTTTATTCATAATCAGGTAACTAAATGAAAATGAATTTATGAAAAAGGTCCTATTTCAAAGTCTTTACTAGTGTCTGCTATATTATATAATGGTCTTTCCAGTCTTTTCATTCTAATGTATCGGTCTTTTACAGTCTTTTGCAGTCACTGGCGGTCTTATATGTTCTACGCGGAGTCTGTACTACGACCGAAGTCTTTCGTAGCCACATCATGTCCATCCTGGCATCAGTATAAAAAGGGAGAGTGTATGGATGCCCCTAATGTGCATATGGGATATGGAGCTGATCGAAGGTATGGTCATTTTACACGAGGACAGTTAGAGTAGTAAGTGTTTTAGTATTAAAAGATGGCAAAGGAGCGACGTAAGGGAACCGCAACGTACGAGGACGTACAGAAAGAGAATATTTTGCATTACCTATACCTCCTCTATCAAATCCCTATCCTTTCCGCATAAGAAAAGGGTGGGAAGGGAAAGAGGACTTAAATTAGGTAAAGTAGTAAGGGTAGTAATGCTATAGTTAACCTAAACAAAGTTCTCTGTAGTTTTAAAAAGAGAAGGAGATATGTCAGGAAACGTAAGATAGAAAGGGATAAATATATTTATATGTAATTTATCTTTATTTCAGGGCCCGTGGTAACTATTTCCTGATGACTCATAAAGATTCACCATATTCAATAGAATAGATAATAAAATTATTTAGTTTTTATTGTTTTTTTTATTAATTCAATAGGACATTTATAGACAAAATTTTTAAACCCAGTCATTTTAGTAGCTAAGATTAGCCATGTCATAGTTCCTAGGAGCCTAGCCTAGCTTAGGATACGAATCCTACCATATACCAATGTTTTGTTTGACTTAACTTAGGGTAGGCTCCAAACTCCTCAGTTGGGTCTTATAGTAAGCTAGAGGTCGTGTCCGTGATATAATACCAGTCAGACTCACACTGATGAAGGGCCCTGATGGGCTCGAAACTAGTCGGTGCCACCGGACTAACGCGAGTCCTTTAGCCGTCTTTATATAAGTTTACGTCAATATATTTACTAATTAAATCCGTGTATAAAGAAATCTTTAGCCGCGAATACAGAAGGATAGCATTTTAATCCGCGAATAAGGACCTTTACTATAATATATAAGTAATTCGACAATTAAATAGTTAAAACACTTAAAATACATATTTTCATGCAATAATTACACTTATTGCATAGACAATAAGGTACATACCTGTACAAATGTTGCGGATGTAACAAGGAGCCGAGCACCAGAGAACTAAGATACACAGGTCTGAGTAGACAGGCCAACAATGAACCTTGTAGACCTACAACGCACCAGCGCGCTGCTTTGTCAGAACATGACATGGTTAGGAGACGTTCGCCCTGGGAAATTTTATATTTCAAATTTGGTATTTTGTAGTTCAAAGTTGGTATTTTATGTTTCAAATTTGGTATTTTGAAGTTCAAAGTTGGTATTTTGTAGTTCAAAGTTGGTATTTCGTAGTTCAAAGTTGGTAATTTGCAATTCAAAGTTGGTATTTTGTAGTTCAAAGTTGGTATTTTGTAGTTCAAATTTGGTATTTTGTAGTTCAAAGTTGGTATTTTGTAGTTCAAATTTGGTATTTTGTAGTTCAAAGTTGGTATTTTATAGTTCAAAGTTGGTATTTTAGTTGTAAGTTGGTATTTTGTAGTTCAAATTTGGTATTTTACAGTTCAATGTTGGTATTTCGTAGTTCAAAGTTGGTATTTTGTAGTTCTAAGTTGGTATTTTAGTTGTAAGTTGGTATTTTGTAGTTCAAATTTGGTATTTTATAGTTCAAAGTTGGTATTTTAGTTGTAAGTTGGTATTTTGTAGTTCAAATTTGGTAATTTACAGTTCAATTGGTATTTTAGTTAAAAATTAACATTTTACAGTTGAAAGTTATCTAAAAGTGTGTATTAAGTCATAAACACTTGATTTAAATAATGAAAATCCATATAATATATACCTGTAGTACTCCATCCCACGTCTGTACAACATTGCTACTATTCTTCACAGGTATGGTCCCTTCACCTGATTCTATTTTGGTCCTAAGTTGACCTCGGGCTAGCCTGTTTACATAGAAATTAATTTAAGACCAACTTACATACTGTACTAAGAAAATTAGGAAGAAAAATATATACAAAAAATAATTAAAGTCTTAGATATTTTAACATTCTGATGCCCCTTTTATTATACTGTGTTTTTTTATATCATAAGGTGGCAAACGATCGAGCGGCCACCTGAAATCGCAGAAATAGCGAAGTGACCGTTGCCCATAGACATACGCAATTGTATATGCGTTGCCTAACTTTACTCGACGGAGGAGAGGATGCACAGAATGAAAATATGTTCCTTTTCCATGCATCATCTCATCCGGAAAGTCCACTTCCCATCCTTTCTTTATAAGAAAAAGTGTGGGAAGGGGAAAGAGGACTAAATTAATCCTCCAGGACACACACTCATCAGACTGTAGTTGGAATAGCTTCCACTTGAGGCGTGTTTTCTGTGTGGTCGTGGTATTTCACCACGAGTCGGGACAATTCCTGCGAACATGTTAAAGCTCACTCTACCACTGTCTTAATTGAGTATACCATGCCAGACTACCAAACCCTTACTTCCGTAGTTCTACTATACCATTCTCCCCTTAATAACCTATAAGAGTGTCATTGTGAGTATACCATACCAGGCTAACATCCCCTCACTGTAACTTTACCATTGCAGTCAACCGTCCCCTTACTACCGAACTCGCACTATACCATCTTCCCCTTATTAAGCTATAAGAGTTTAAATCCACTGTGGACTCTTTATCCTAAACGAGAGAGTGGTCAATGTAAGCATACCATTCCAGCCTACTATCCCCTAACTCCCGTACTCCCACTATTCCATTCTCCCCCAATTCACCTATTAAATTGTCTCTTCCAATTCAGACTCGTTTTAAAGACAGCGGTCAACGTAAGATACCATTCAAGCCTTCCATACCCTTACTCCCATTATACCATTCTCCCTTAACTCACCCCTTAGAAGTTGTAGAGAAGACAGTTTTCAATGTATGTACCATTCAAGCCTAGCATACCCTTACTCCCACTATACCATTCTCCCCCAACTAACCTATTAGCAGTTCAAACGCATTGTGTATACCACTACAGCCTATCATCCCCTCATAATTGTATACAATTCTCCCCCAACTCACCTATTAGGATGTCTATCCAGCTCAGACTCGTTGTTCTCATGAGGGCTGAATATCCTGCCATCACCGCACGGAGCTGTGCTTACATACAGATGAATACTTCTATCAGGTTTCAACTGATATCCTCCAGTTGGTATCGGTTCTATATCTGATTCCGGTATGCATTTCTTTGGATCTGGATGGAGAGAAAAAGAAAATTAAAAACAAACAAGAGAAAAAAAAAATTCTGGCTAACCCTACGACGAAGACAGATGGAATTAAAAACAAAGAGGAGAAAGACATTTAAAAAAATATTACAATCCCGGCTGACTATGAAAAAGATCTGGTTGGAAAAAAAATTAACACAATTAAAAAAAATCAATAAACCCGATACTGTATTCCTTGCTTTATATCTAGTTGAATAGAAAAAAAACAAAGAGAAAATAAAAAAAATAATCCTGGCTGACTGTATAACAAAGGTAAACATCAGGATGGTAATAAAAAAATATTAAAAAAATAGAAAAAAAAACAATAGACCTGACTAACTTTATAGCTACGTAGTCTACGCTTTTCTCTCAATCAATTGAACAAGATTTTCTTACTAATATTATAAATGCGAATGTTTAGACCAGTTTTTCCCAAAGTGTGCGATAACGCTCTCTTGTGGGCTGCAGGTCTCAAGTTGCGGGTTATAGTAAAAGTTTCCTTTACAATTCTCCGTTAATATACATATATAGCTCACAATAATTAATTTAATTTGAAGTTATAGAGGTTTTTAAATGTGAAAATATGGAAGCGCTAAAAAAATATTCTCAAAGTGGGCAGTAGACAAAATAAGTTTGGGAACCACTGATATAGAACATAGTCTGGAAGAACACATAGACTACAAAGTTTTTTTTAATTCCCGGACATAGTAGCGGGCAACAGCTGGTACAAGATAAGTATTAATGTAGCTTACCTGATGCTGAAGCATATAGTAATAGTTGGGAATACAAATATCTCTGCAAACAACGCCTCGCTGCAACCTGAAATAAACATAATAATATTATAAATGCGAATGTTTACATGATCTTTATTTTAAATAATTTCAAACTAATAAAATTAATTTAAATACAAAATATAAGCTGTATAATATACAGGATGTTCAAAAAAACTGAAAACAAAACTATACAGCTCTATATACATCCACTGAGGGTCTGAGTCTATCCTAAGTTAGGTCATAGTGAATGCTGACCCAGTGCACACATATCTTTGAACTTTAAAGATATTTGCATTAAGATGTTTTCCTTCAACGTAACATCGGATAAATGTACATATGTTTGTAAAAACACATTGGTACATGCCGGGATTCGAACCCAGGAGATGCAGACAAGTGCTTAACCACTGAGTCACTAACGCTCAAAACGCAGTAAAAAGGTAAATTGGGTTAAATAGACCAAGGAATCTGTAGTTTTTCTATTATAGACATTTTTACACGTATTTTTCGAACATCCTGTATTCTTTTCATTCATTCTTTGTCTTATTCATTTTTTTATATCAAAAGGTGTCAAATGAGCGAGCAAGTGAAATCGCTGAAGTAGCGAAGTGGCAGTTGCTTAAGACATACGCAATTTCAGGTCGCTCGCTCGTTTACCACCTTATGATATAAAAAAAAACTTGACAATTCTTGTTTAAAACATTGTATGTATATACCTCAGCATGACAATCGTTCAATGCCAACCCTTTAACAGACATATGTTCACCGGATACACATTTTGTACCAGTAGTAACTGCTATAACCTGGAAATAAGACAAAAATTAAATAAATGGCGACTGTTTTTTGTATGTTTTATGTATGGACAATTTGTAACATCCTGTATATTCAATTTAATGAGTGAGGTGTCATTTTATTCGTAACAAGCTGTCGCCCGCGACTCCGTCCGCGTGGATATATAAAAAAGCTTAATTAGTGTAGCCCACCCATCCATCCATCCACATCACATCCATCTAAACATTCGCATTTACAATATTAGTAAGTTAAATAAAAAGCAGCTCTTCAAATGAATAAATAGTATCCTATGTCCGTGTCCTGGCTCTAAGCTACCTCCTCACTAATTTTCAGGCATATCGGTAAAGCCGTTCTTGAGTTATAAATAGTGTAACTAACACCACTTTCTTTTATATACATATACTAGCGGAGCCGACAGACGTTGTCTGACAATTTGACACTGCGATGTTAGCGCCGTCTGTCGGATCCAATGTAAAACATTCTAAAATCAACAACTACTAATAAATTAAAAATTAATTAAATAACCCATTGTCCAGCGGACAAAATTGTGAATCTAAACCATTCCCAGATCCCCTTGAACACACACAAAAAATTTCATCAAAATCGCTCCAGTCGTTTGAGAGAAGTTCAGTGACATACACACTCACAGAACAATTATATATATAAAGATTTATAAAGATTGAATTGTTAATGTCATATAGAATGTCATATTGTGATAACACTCACCTTAGCGCCCTCTACACCGTTGTCTATGGTTAGTACAATCCCAGCGAGGACCTTCCGTTTAGAATGTATGAGATTGTTGCGAACCATTTCTTGAAACTTATCATTAACTAATCTGAAAATAAATATTTATAAATAATTTTACTAATATTATACATTGATAGAGCATCGGTGGCTCAGTAGTCAACTTGACTTGCAATCTGCAGGTCCTGGGTTCGAATCCCGCCATGTACCAATGTGTTCTTACGGAGAAGGAAAACATTGTGATGCTGCACATATCTGAGATATTCAAAGATATGTGTGAAGTCACTGCACTTGGTCAGCGTGGTTGACTATGACCTAATCACCCTTAACTTAAGGTAGGCTCCGAGCCACTCAGTGGGGACGTATAGTGAACTGATGATGATGATAGAACTTAGTCTGGAAGAACACATATCCTACTTATTTAGTTTAATTTTAATACCGACAAAGTCACGGGCGACAGCTAGTATCTTTATAAATAACAAAGTCATATTAGCAGTGATTTCTCTGTCCTGTACCCTTCTGTATCCCTCACCTGGCGACGTGGTCAGCCAGCAGCTGGTTGAGCGGTGCGGCGGGCAGCGGCCGCTGTGGACCAGCTCGCGCCTCACCCAGCTCAGCCAGAGCAACACGAGCTGCTGCTACTTTAGCCAATTTCTTACTTGAACCTGGAATTTACATTTATTATCTTACTAATATTATAAATGCGAATGTTTAGATGTTTGTTTGAAGATATCTCCGGAACAGCTGAACGGATCTTGATGAAATTTGTCATACATATAGAACATAGTCTGGAAGAACACATAGACTACTAATTGTTATTTTCATTCCGAGTGGACAGAGTCGCGAGCGATAGCCAGTTGACAATAAATTTAAATTAATGATTTTGAATCTATATTCCTATGGGGGTCACAAAATTTGGAAATATTTTAGGGGGTCCCTAAGCCCCCAAATCAGAAATTAAACAATTAATGGACTAACATATGATAAATTCATTTTTACTAATATTATAAATGCGTATATTTAGATGTATGGATGGATGTTAGAAAGTATCTCAAGAACGGTTGCATGGATCTGTCTAAAATTTGTCATAGAACATAGTCTGGAAGAACACATAGACTATATATTTTTAATTTTTTTTTTTTATTTAATTGACATACATACAGCAGTTGGTTAAAGAAATTTTAGAACTCACCATATCCTTCAAATCTATAATCTTTTATCTTGCAGATAACTTTGAATCTCATACTGTGACTGAGTTGAAGTGGCGCTGTAAGTGAAAACAAACTAATTTCAATTTGGAGTAGACAGATATATTAAATTATATACTAGCGGACCCGACAGACGTTGTCCTGTCTACACGTCTTTAATTTGAATAAATTAATATGATGTTAATATTTGATGAAAATTGTGAATCTAAACCATTCCCAGATCCACTTGAACACACACAAAAAATTTCATCAAAATCGCTCCAGTCGTTTGAGAGAAGTTCAGTGACATACACACGCACAGATGAATTATATATATAAAGATTTTTAAGGTTTTTAAAGAGTTATTAAAAATGTTAATTATGTTCTATATGTATGACAAATTTCATCAAGATCCGTTAATCCGTTTTGGATACCTTCAAACAAACATCCATCTAAACATTCGCATTTATAATATTAGTAAGTAAAATTATAAAATAACTTTAAATTGTGTTTTTAAATCTATACAGACTATCTATGGGGTCACAAATATATTGGGGGTTAGACCCCCAATATATAATTAAAAAATAAAAAATCAGAAATGAAAATGAATGGACTAACTTGCTAAATACAATCTTACTAATATTATAAATGCGAATGTTTATATGAATGTTTGTTGTCTCCGGAACAGCTGAACAGATATCCATGAAATTTGTCATACATATAGAACATAGTCTGGAAGAACACATAGACTACTAAGTTTTTTTTAAAATTCCGCACGGACGGAGTCACAGGCGACAGATAGTTTGTAATGTTGGTAATTTTATTCGATTATGAGAGCGTCGGTGGCTCAAGTATCTAACACTTGACTTGCAATCTGCAGGTCCTGGGTTCGAATTCCATGTACCAATGTGTTTTTCCATTTCCGATTTACATATGTACATATATCTGATGTTACGGTGAAGGAAAACATCGTGATGCTGCACATATCTGAGAAGAAAATTAAAGATATGTGTGAAGTCACTGCACTTGGTCAGCGTGGTTGACTACGGTATAATCACCCTTAACTTAGGGTAGGCTCCGAGCACCTCAGTGGGGACGTATAGTGAGCTGATGATGTATTCTAGCACTCACCATATTCAGAGTCCAAAGATGAACCATCACCATAAGTACATATGAAGCTCAATCCAGGATAATTCTCGTATAACATATTTATAGGACTCTTATTAAATCCTTGCAATCTGGACCCAAATAGGGATGTTGATGGTGAACATATCGGAGAACAAGGACCGTCTGTAGCTGGAAATAAATAAAAAAACTTACTAATATTATAAATGATTGGATTAAGAGCCCGATACAAAAGGCAGTTATCCTAGAAACCGCACGCATCGTGAGAAGGTTCCTGTCTGCAGCCCTGACCACTGGTTGTTTGAGTCATGGGATTAATATGTTTTGTATATTTTTATTTTTTTTTGGATATGAAATGTATTATATTAGAAATATGATAAATAAATGTAAATGAATTTATAAATGAGAATGTTTAGATGTCTGTTAAAAGGTATATACAGAACAGCTGAATGGATCTTGATGAAATTTGGACATAGTCTGGAAGAACACATAGGCTACTAATTAAGTCTCGTTAACAGAGTCGCGGGCGACAGCTAATAATATTATAAATGCGAATGTTTAGATGGATGGATGCTTGAAGGTATCTCCGGACCAGCTGAACTGATCTGGCTGAAATTTGGCATACATATAGAACATAGTCTGAAAGAACACATAGACTACTTATTGTTTTTTTTTTAATTCTATATGTCCAAAATGGCTGAAATATTTGAATATTCGCATTCTTAAAATGACAGTCGGGATGAACAAACCATTTTCCTGACAAATCCGCTTCCCATCCCTAGTCTTTCCTTATGACAAAATTGTGAGAACTAAATATGACTTTATTTGTATCCTATAGTTTAGAACAAAGGTATAGTTCTTAGTCTTCTGATGAGGATTCTACTCTTATTCAGTACTAACCTTTGCTAGCTGATGGATCATCGCTGGTGAAGTCCTGGTACTTTGATGGAGCTGGCAGTAGACGACCAGCTCGCTGCATCAGCGCTGATAAACAGGCTCGTGCCGCTGCTGCTCTAGCCTCGCGTTTACTATGACCGAATCCTTCGAACTTCATGTCCGCTACCTACAAAGATGAATGGATGGATAGATGGATGTTTGTTAGAAGGTTGTCCTGGAGGCCTAACTTAGTCCTCTTTCCCTTCCCACCCTTTTTCTTATAACGAAAGGATGGCAAGTGAAAGTGGACTTTCCGGATGAGAGGATGCATGGGATTTTCTTTCTTTGCATCTCCTCGGTCGATTAAAGGTAGGCAACGCATATACAATTGCGTATGTCTATGGGCAACGATCACTTCGCTATTTCAGTGATTTCAGGTGGCCACTTGCTTGCCACCTTATGATATAAAAAAAAACCATGTAACCTTAACAAATAAATTATTAATATCGTACGTCTTTTGGTACTCACCTCAACAGTAATAACAAAGCTTGGACAATGTGGTGGTCCTCCTTGTTGACGTAACGTATAATTGACTCTAACTCCCAGCTCGTTGAGTGCTGATACAGGTGACTTGCCACCAGATTCGACAGCTTCCGCAGCTGTAGCTAACGCCTACATAAATATTATCAAGAGAGCATCCATATCGAGGATTTTTAAAGATGCTATTTATTTTTTACAGGCGCGATAATATACAGCGTGTTCCAAAACGATACAATGTACATGGGGAAAGATACTATAAAAAATCCAACTCTTATTGGTCTAATTTTTAACTTAAATTAATAGCTATGTTACTTAGGTAGCTAATACAAAAAAAAATGCAGGAATATCTTCATATTTGTAGCCACAGTGTCTAATCATATGGTGGAGGATATCAAATATTAATGTAACTTTTAAACAAAAACAGATGGATTTTTTTTTTAGTTTTTTTCTCTATGTAGTTATAGATATGGCTATACACAATTAGTTTTATCGTTGAATTTTGGGACACGCTGTATACTTAAGAGGGTCTTTGTAGTGCAATTTTAACGAAATAATATTATTAATGTTTAAAATTAAATCAGAACATGATAGTTTAAATTAGAATTATAAGAACAAATAAATATTGCATCTATGTTATGTTATTATAATGATTTTAGGGGGTCTTGGACCCCCTAGTGTCATCGGGACCCTACATACATGACAGTCAACTAAAATGATAAAATTACTATAAGAAATCTCATTATGAATTTACATAGATATCAGTTTATTATATATGTGGATATATATTTATACACTAGCTGTCGCCCGCAACTCCGTCCGCGCGGGATTAAAAATACATGATGGCCGATTCTCAGACCTACTCAATATGTTCACAAAATTTCATGAGAATCTGTCAAGTCGTTTCAGAGGAGTATGGGAACAAAAATTGTGACACGAGAATTTTATATATAAGATGAATATATATATACACATATATAATAAACTTATATCTATGTAATCTATGAAATATTTGTATGTATTTGTATGTTAGTGTTGTAACACAGACCTGCATGTTCCATTTAAAGCCATCTAATGGAATAGCATTGGCCAGTCGCTTCGGTGCAGGCCCGTTAGCTAAAAAAAAAAACAATTCTTCTATCGAAACAAAACAAACTGGTATATATAACCTAAGGTAACTTATAACACATGTAATTTCAAATCTTATTAATATTAAATACAACTATTTAGATGTATGGATGTTTGATAAAAGGTATCTCCTGAATGTCTGTATGGATCTCGCTGAAATTTGGCATACATATAGAACATAGTCTGGAAGAACACATAGGTTACTAAGCAGTCGCAGGCGCCAGTTCTTGCATTAATGACAAGATGTTCCTTGGAAATGGGTAATGAGTAATCAACATCCTTATTTATGTGAGTTTCTAATACTCACATTTAGGTCTTGATAGTGAAGGTTTTTTATCCTTATCGACATCCATGTCAGGCATCTTGATGTCGGTACTTGAACTTATGCTGGGATCCTGACAATGAAAGTTATATTTTACAGTTATTTTTAACTTATTAATGGCACAAATCCAACTAATTAGACATGTAAATCAACTCTGACTTGGAACTGTTGAGTTGCAGCTCAAGAACTAAGTTGCGAGCCTGTGAGCCGTAAGCTACCTGGTGAGCACTTTGAAATTCAATTGAAAAAATAAAACTATTTTGAATGGAAATAATGAAAAGCTATTTGGATTATGAATTGTGGGTTTATGATTTTTTTTTAAAGATTAAAGTAAATCTGAATAAATACAGGAAATCAACTTACCCAATCCTTAAGATTATCTGGAACAAGAAAGAAATAATTTTAGTATTTACCTCAATATAATTGCGTGTACAGTGCAACCTTACAGATATCCTCAACCTATACTAGCAAGAAAGCCTGGCTTAATACAAAGATTAATATTAAAATCGAAATAAATATTTATTCTGTCGATTCCTTGAATGTTAGCTTTGGAATACACTTCTGTATACAACTAAAAAAAATGGATTCAAAAATTATATTTTTTCACACGAACTTGACGATTCAAAAATGTTTTAAAATCAAAATTATATCAATGAATACTTAAGTTACTTTTTAAAATAATTAAAAATTACGTTTAAAACCGAACCAAGGTGTCACGTAAACTTATTTAAAAAATATTTTTTCGTAACAGGTACTTACCTTTTCCTGTTGTATCAGCGGAATTATTCGCCATTGTTATAAAAAATCATTGAAATATTTAATTAAAAGGATTTACCGTTTTTTTCAATGCGGACTCCTTATTTAGCCGCAGATATTGATGCCAATTGTCAATTATTCAAAAAATAATTATTTTTCGTGCAATTTGGCGCAATTCTGGTTGTACCGCACTGTTATCAAAGAGCAAAGACAATGCGCAAAACAAAGAGTATATAGCTTGAATACAGACTAAATAGGTCTAGGTCATCTTCACAAAAAGGGGATATGTGTCCTCCGTCATGTCCCTATCCTAATAATTAAGGGGTAGGAATGGAAAGTGAACTAAAATTGATTGAGCGTCGCCTATCTCTGTATAAAACATATCGTCATCCCTGTCGTTATCGTTGATAAAATCGAGACAACAATATATTTTAAACTACGATTGTCTCCGAAACCTACTGTAAGGTTGATATGTCATCTCGACGAGTGTATCAAAGACATGCGTTGTCCACTGAATGCATTATTCCTACGGGTATTATAAAAATAAGTCTCAACAATTTCAATCATTTATTTTACGAAAACACACAAGAGTTTTTCTATCTAAAAATAAAAAAAAAACATTCGGTAAATTCTATCTATATCTATCTACACATCTTTAAAAATGTGTTTATTTATGAAATATGGCACAATTGGAAGATACTATATAGAAAATACTTATAACTAACAAGTTCTATGTTCATGGTCTACCCAAAATTAACCTATAAATATTAACACAGCGCACAGGTTTAAACTATTGCCTTAAATTTACAACACTATAATTTTTTCTAAAATGACTAATCGTGTTTCTGAGACCAAAATGCCCATATAAAACATTTTATTATCAATGTTTTGTCAAAGGTTATGAGAGGGACAGCAATGTTTTATACAGAGTTTTTTGGCTCAGAAACCAGCAGTAAAAAATTGAGCACGTTATTACTTTTCCTTACTAATATGTTGTTAAATGTAAGCAAACCTCCATTGTGTTAGAGGATGTGCGTAAGAGAGTTAATTCAGATATGCAGCTGATAGAGATGTCTGGAAGAGTAGAGCTGACACTAGGTAGGTAAATTGGTAATTATAAACTTACATCAGATGATCTGATGATGATTCAATGTTAATAGTCTTATCAAACATCTTGACGGACCAAGGTAATCAGAGTGCTGTGAAGCGCCCTATACTTACAATATGCTTTAGGTTAAATATTTATATATGTTTAAACTTAGGAGATGAGATAATTTGTAAGGCGAGAAACAGGCATAAATTGCAAGCCAATAGCAGCATAGATGGAAAGTTGCCAAGGTAATGATTCTTCGCCAATAGCGAAGGCCTTCATCATTTGAACTTTGCCTTTTTAGTTGAAATTTTTACCCAATAAAAGAAAGCTAAGATTTTTATGTAACAAAAATGAATGGAATTTCATTTCGATGAATTCACATAGGAATAGGTAGTCTAAAGTTATTTAACAAACGATAAAGTTATCTAGAATCTAAAATTCAAGTTAAAATATATGATATTTTGTCTATAATTCTTGATTAATATGACCTCTAGTTAACAATAGTCCATTTGGATGGTTTTTCGCATTTCCCCGTATCAGGACAAAGCCTATTAAATGTTGTTGAGCTAGGAAAACCTAATATTTCTCTTTCTTCTTGTATCCTAAATGTAAAAGTACTATCGTGTGTACCAACAAAGAAAGCTGCATGAGAACATATTATTTGATCGATTATAGCAATTCCACCGTCCTTGTACATTTCTAATTCCTTCTTGCTTGGTATAAAAAAGTTTACTTTATACCCTAATTCTTTAAGATCATTTTCCAATGTTCTAACTTCAGTTTCAGATGCATCCGTTGCTATGAAAATTGTTTTAATATCTGGTACACTGTCTTTAGCTATTTGGTCTATTTGTTTAGCAGTTCCTTGCAATGATGGTACATCTTTACCTCTACTGTATGCAAAGTCTCTACGTCTCCAATGAACACTTAAATATGTTGTACATTTTTCAATTTTACAGTTTAAAAATTGTAATATGAAATTTTTAGCAGTTTTAACTAAGCCGGTGTTGAATTTCATACTCTTTCTACAGTCCCAGTATGTTTTAGTTCCATAGGATGTATGCAAAGGTATTTCCCCATGAGAAAACATTACATATTTGTCTTTTGGATGCAAGGCAATTAATTCCCATAATTTTGATATTTTTCCTTGAAAATTTACACAAACTGTTTCTTTTACTGTGATATTATTGTATCCCCAAAATAATCCATCGTATTTACAATCATCTGTTATTGTCCATTTATCATGGAATACACCGTCTTCGAAAGCATTTTCATAATTTTGTAATACGTAAAGACGATCAATTTTTAAAGGTGTAATTGAATTTGATACCACTTCTTGTAACTCTATCACTGGGACGTATGTTTTGAGTGAATTTACGTCAAAGAATTTATTCCATGGTAAGGGTTTATTTTGCGCACCCGATTTCCAATGATAAAGTCTATGCCACGGTGGAAGAACTAAACGCCAATTTATTTTTTTACCCATCTTCTGTGTTTCGGCCAGCATTATAGCGAATCTCATGTAAACATCTCTTCGTAAATTAAATCCTTCGGGAGGATTAACATCGTACATTAAGAATTTCTCACCAGAACCAGGTTTACAATGTTTCGCAGATGCATCACAGAAACCATTGTCATCTTTAGCTGCAGCGAATAGTTGCGTTATTATAAGAAAATGTAGTATTACAAGTATAAACTTATTATATATAATCATTTTATACCAATTTCATATTTTTCAAAACATGATCACATAACCCGACATTGATATTTCAAATATTTCTGACAAAGAGCATTCAGTCATTCGCTATGGTATTGGTTGTGATTCACGGTGAAAAATTGGTGAAAATAGTGGATAGTAAGTAACTTTGTTTTATAATCAATGATGGCGTACAATATTATTATTTTGAAATAAGTAATTGCTTAAATAAAAATCCATTGTCTTATAATATCAGTGAAGTGAAGTGTAGTGAATACAAAGTAATGAACATTTTCCAATATAAGATATGACCTAAAGGTCTATGCTACCAGGTCATAAAATAAAAAAATAACATTTAATCTTTGACTTAAAATCTGATGTCATATTTATGTCATGTAAGGAAATGAAAGAATTGTAAAAGTCCGAACGAATGCGGATTTTATAGTTAAATAAACTAAACAACCAGTATTTATATTTATTCTCATTAGTTAAGGATAAAATGGAGCTCAACGATGTTATAGTAAACCAGCCCGTGGTTATAGATAATGTAATTATTTTGTATCATAAGATTATTGATCCACCGTTATGACGAATTGGCACTACTTTTTTCGTTTTATTAGTATTTCATGAATTTAAGTATTTATACGGTTTAAATAACCTTCTTAACTTTTATTTAAACTTATCAAATCATTTTTATGTCGTTAAATATATATTATGAGTCAACACGTCGAAATATAATAGTCGAGACATTTTTTACTTTAAGTTCATTATTGTATGTTTTAGGGCTCTGGAGTTATAAAAGCAGGTTTCGCCGGTGATCAAATACCGAAATGTCGCTTTCCGAACTAGTAAGTAACATTTGTATTACAAAATAATGTAATATTTGAATCCACACCCAAGAAAGTCAGACATCTAAAAATATTTATAGAAGTACTTAATTATTAAGGTTGGCATTTTCCAGCGTCTTCGTCTACGAGGAATAAAAAAAATATAGTAATTAATATTGTCTATATTACCCATGGTGTAGGTTCCTAACAGTGAAAAAGTTTTTCAAATATTTTCAATAGTTTTGAAGCCTATTCAATTTAAACAAATTATCAGTCAAATCTTTTCCCTTTATAATATTAATAAACGGACGGAGTGCTATAATCATAGTTTGATAAATAATACATTATTGACACTTTATTCTCATGAATACTTACTCTTCCAGTATCGGGCGTCCGAAACATGTAAGAGTCATGGCGGGAGCTTTAGAAGGAGAGTTATTCGTGGGCCCTCGCGCTGAGGAGCACCGTGGCCTGCTCAGCATCAAATACCCTATGGAACATGGGATAGTCACCGATTGGAATGATATGGAAAGAGTTTGGAATTATATTTATAGTAAGGTTAGTGTTTTTGGTGTTAAGGTTAGAAAATTGTAGAACACCATTAAAATATTGTACCACTGACCTATCCAGGACGAAGTGACCAACTAAATATGCGAAAATAGCAAAACATCTGCTTCAAATAGATTGCAATTGCAGTTACCCTTCATTGATGGAGGAGGGGATGCACAGAAAAAGTACTCACTTTGTGTGCTTTCCCTACACCATCAAATCCACTTCCACTTTCCCGTCTGCTCCTTGTAAGAGAAGGAAACGAGGGTTTAAATGAGTGCTCCAGATATTCATCATGTAGTTGTAATGACTTGTGAATTGAGGCGTGTTCTGTATGGTCATGATATTGCAGCAGCGAGGTTGATTCTTCCAACATGCTCCTTGCATCTACCAATGTTTAACTGTCACTTTTAAGGTATACAAACCGATACCCCTATTCATTCATCATCTTCAGCTCACTAAATAGTGACTTCACACTTATCTTTGAATTTCTTCTCAGATATGTGCAGCATCACGATGTTTTCCTTCACCATAACGTAGGATAAATGTACATATGTAAATCGGAAATGGGAAAACACATTGGTGCATGACGGGATTCGAACCATCCTGCAGATTGCAAGTCGAGTGCTTGACTCTTGAGCCACTGACGCTCAATCCCCTTATCATTCCAAAAAAATTTGTTTAATAGGACCAACTATCAACATTTGCGGAAGAGCACCCAGTTCTATTAACGGAAGCACCTCTGAACCCACGTCGTAATAGAGAAAAGGCAGCGGAAGTATTCTTTGAAACATTCAATGTGCCCGCTTTATTTTTATCTATGCAGGCTGTACTTAGTTTGTAAGTATTTTGATATTTATTACAATACTAAATTAAAATTAATTGTTTTTGTTGCATTTGATGAGTTTGGAATAAAACTTTATTAGTCTGTGTGTTCTTCCAGACTATGTTTTATAACAATCTTTCCCATAGTGTGCGATAACGCCCCCTTGTGGTCGCTGCAGGTCTCAAGTTGCGGGTTATAGTAAAAGTTTCCTTTAGAATTCTCCGTTAATATACATATATAGCTCACAATAATTAATTTAATTAATTTGAAGTTATAGTGGTTTTTAAATATGTGAAAATGTGGGGGCGCTAAAAAAATATTTATTCTCAAAGTGGGCAGTAGACAAAATAAGTTTGGGAACCACTGCTCTATATGTACGACAAATTTCAGCGAGATCTATACAGACGTTCTGGCGATACCTTCTAACATTCGCATGTATAATATTAGTAAGACGAGCAAAGGCGTCGTCAGCGTATAATCTAGTTTTAGAGCTTCATAGGGGGGGGGGGAGGGGGCAGAAGCCTCTGAGGACGCCTGTAAATTGAGTTTTGGATGTGTTTATAGATTGAAACTTGTCATAGATGTAGAACATAGTCTGGAAGAAACCTCCAATCTCTTTTGGAGTCTATACTAATATTATAAAGCGGAAGAGTTTATTTGTTTGTTTAAACGCGCTAATCTCATGAACTACTGGACGGAGTCACGGGCGAGTGCTAATCTAGCAATATGTTCTATATCTAGGTACGCGACAGGTCGTACGACAGGCGTGGTACTAGACTCAGGAGACGGAGTCACCCACGCTGTACCGATTTACGAAGGGTTTGCGATGCCTCACAGCATCATGAGGGTTGATGTAGCTGGTAGAGATGTCACCAGGTATTTGAGGTGAGTATTTTTTGGATGTATAAAACAATTTAACTCATGCCGTACATGAAGAGATTCGAACCCAGGACCTGCAGATTGCAATTGAAGTGCTTCACCACTGAGCCACCGAGGCTATTGTTAATTATACTTTTTTTAACTAAATTAATCCTTTTTTTTTAATTTTGATATTTTTTTTGTTTTTGTAAGAGTTGAATTCTGGATCTGTAGTTAAAACTTGAAATAACTTGATGTTATTAGATTAAAAATATTTAGTTATAATAACAGAATATACCAAAATGCATTACCTTAATAAGCGAGAGACTAAGAGACAATTTTTCTCTTTTATGTAGGACTCTTGCATACTTCGACTCCGGACGATGACTCTCTCTTATAAAGATTTTTCTTTTTATATAATATTATAATCAAGCAAGCATCTGTCTAAATTCTACAGCTTTCCATAGGCATCTGCAAATTAAAAATGACTTTACCTTATAGACAGAGGAGGAGACATAAATAATGATAATATTTCCCCTTCCTTAGACTTGATCGCAGGTATCTTGCATATCCAATATGTGTTCTTCCAGACTGTTATTACGTAAAGAAGGTGTAAATCTTCGTACATCAGCTGAGTTGGAGATAGTCAAAGCTATCAAGGAACGAGCTTGCTACCTCTCACCCAATCCGTTGAAGGAGGAGACATTGGATTCAGAACGGGCTCAGTATACTCTGCCTGATGGGACATTACTTGAGGTATGTCATATTTATATCTAGCTGTAGGTATTAAAAAAAAACTTAGTAGTCTATGTGTTCTTCCAGACTATGTTCTATATGTATACCAAATTTTATCAAGATCTGTTCAGCTGTTCCGGAGATATCTTCTAATGGACATACATCTGTTTAGATGTTTTTTCGCATTTATAATATTAGTAATTAAGGGTAAATATATCGTTTTGTTACAGATAGGCCAAGCGAGATTCAGAGCTCCGGAGGTACTTTTCAGACCTGACCTCATCGGTGAAGAATGTGAAGGTAAATACATGAGTTTACTAACAAATACAGTAATTTAAAAATTAAATAAAGTGCCCTATAACATGCTTTTGCAGTCAAAATTGATCCATCCATTCTGGAGATTACAAGGAACAAATACAAACTTGTAAACAGACATACAGACAGAAATTATATTTTTTTTGTTATCAGTAATGCAATCATAATATACATATAACATACAGACACACCAATTTAAAAGAAAATAATAAGTATCCTATGTGTTCTTCCAGACTATGTTCTATATGTATGACAAATTTCATCAAGATCCGTTCAGTCGTTGCGGAGATATCTTCTAATACATATATACATCTAAACATTCGCATTTATAATATAAGTAAGATATAGCTCTTGTACTAATGTTAGTACAAGAGCTAGAGGTGATTATTGTTATCATTGTTTTTATGACAATATTAAATATCTCTTAATTACTCAGTGATATTGCTTTATTGAATCTGCAGTTCCTGGCTTCGAATCCCGACATGTACCAAATTTTCATATGTAAATTTATCCGATGTTACTGTGAAGGAAAACATCTTAAAGCTAAATATCTGTAAAATACAAAGATATTTATTTATTTCTTTATTGGAAGATCAACAGCCATTTTTACAAATTAAGTACAACAATAGTAAACATATAGCCAATTATATAATAGATCCTCCTTATAGTGGCATTTTATACAAATGTTTTAACGCGAACAAATATACATTAACACAGAGACAAAAAGCACATAAAATAATTACATTACCAAAAAAGAAATGTAGAATATAAAAATATCTGATAAGAAGCATTTTTTATAGAATTACTTGTAGAATTAAATATATATAAGTTGGAACTTTTAGATTGATTGTTAACAAAGAATACGTGTGAAGTCTGCACTGAGTCAGCATTCACTATGACCTAACTTAGGGTAGACTCAGACCGTCATATTGACTTAGCAATTTTTTTTATTTCCAGGTCTCCACGAAGTACTAATGTTCTCTATACAAAAATCTGATATGGATTTACGTAAAGTTTTGTACCAGAACATTGTGTTAAGCGGTGGGTCAACTCTCTTCCGTGGATTTGGTGATCGTCTCCTCGCGGAGATACGAAGACTCGCACCTAAAGATATGAAGATCAGGGTAAGATGTACAAATGGTATTTGATTTTTATTTTTCCAGATGTAAGCAAGAGTCTTATAGTAGACAGGGGAGGGTACAAATTTCGCATTTTTAAAACTTGAAAAAAAAACAATCAACTGAATTCGCTTGTCAAAATAAAGAAAAGCAGACATTTCAAAAAGTCACATAGACAGGGGAGGGTACACACAGAAATATATTTCACCTTATTCATCCCCTCCCCTGTTAATTCCTTTTCTTTGAACGATTATATACATAGTAAGATGGTAAAAGAATAACCGGACACATGAATTCTACCTATAGATACATAGAAAGAGAATGTTTCCACTTCCTATAAGTGTCGTGCTCCGTCAAATCCACTTCCCCTTCCCATTTCCTGAAGAGTGGGATTGGAAAGGGTAACGAGGACTGTGTCATGATGGGAAGGGATGAAAATATTTTAATACCAGAAGTAAATTTCGTACTTCTTTCTAAAGCTGTCGCCCGCGATTCTGTCCGTGTGAAATTAAAAAAACTTAATAAATAGTCTATGTGTTCTTCCAGACTATGTTCTATATGTATGACAAATTTCATCAAGATTCAAGCAGCCGTTCTGGAGATACCTTTAAACAAACATCCATCCAAACATTCGTATATCGTTAGAAGTAAGATGGAGACTTCTTACTAATATTATAAATGCGAATGTTTAGTTCGATGTGTGTTTAAAGTTACGCGGACGGAATCGCATGCGACGGCTAGTTATAATATTTTAAAATCGAATTTCCAAATTATTTATCTAATTTGATATTTTATAACTAATAATTTCCCTTTAGATCTCAGCACCGCAAGAGCGACTTTACTCAACATGGATCGGGGGTTCGATTCTCGCGTCACTCGACACATTCCGTAAAATGTGGGTATCTAAACGAGAGTACGATGAAGAGGGACAAAGAGCGGTCCATCGCAAGACTTTCTAAACGCTTTTAGACTCTGTTTCCACTAAGCGATTAGTCACTGACGCGTAAAAATGACGCACGTCTTTAAATTCACATTTAGAAGCTTATAAATAATAAAAAAAAACTAATAAAAAAGAATAGTAGTAAATAATTATAATAAAGAGTTCAATTAAATGATAGACTAACGACAATTTATGCTAAAAATCATAGTAAAACACCCTTTATCTCAAATAACTATAGAACCTGCAAATATCAGGAAACAATTTTCAAAGATATGTGTGAATTCAAGGTAGAACAAGCACAGCTCCATCCGCCACGTTCCATCTTCCAAATTAGCGAAAAGTGTATTCTGTAAGTTTTGGTCCATGGTCTCTGCCTACCCCTCTGGGTTGTAGGCGTGATTGCATAGTTGTGTGTATTTTAAAATAATGGCCGTGATGTTTCTTTATTTACTTAATTTATACTTTCAATTGAAACTAAGGATTGTTTTGGTTTTTCAATAGTGGAAATATTGCACTTCATCATCAGCTCACTATACGTCCCCATTGAGGGGCTCGAAGCCTACACTAAGTTAAGGTTGATTAGGCCATAGTTAACCAGGCTGACCAAGTGCAGTGACTTCACACATATCTTTGAATTACTTCTCAGATATGTGCAGCATCACGATGTTTTCCTTCACCATAAGAACGTCGTTAAATGTACATATGTAAATCGGAAATGGAAAAACACATTGGTACATGGCGGGATTCGAACCCAAGACCTGTAGAGCAAGTCAAGTGACTCCTGAGCTAATCGCTTAGTGGAAATAAACATTTAGCTTTGCTATGTATGGGATATGATCGGATGATATCAATAATATGGATATGCTTAAGATATTTGTACTCGTATTAAAATTTTATTTAAAATCATGACAATAGTATTTTACTAACAAACATATATAATAAAGATCGAAATATAATAAAAAATTACATATAATATCTTGAATATAGGCAGCTATAATTTACTGGACACATTGTCCCTTCATCATCATCAGTCTATACTAGTCCATTGCTGGACATAGGCCTCTACCATGGCACGCAACTGAGCACGATCCTCGGCCACTCTCATCCAGCTCTAGCAGTTGCCCTGCGAAGATCATCGCTCCACCGTGACTGAGGATGTCCTACGCTATATGATGTCCCGTAGTCTCCACTCAAGAACTCGTCTACTCCAACGGTTATGCTAATGCGGTGGCATTATCCCTTACTCTTATAAAAATATATACAGGGTGTCCCAAAAGGTTACGTACATAGGAAGGGGGATGATAGGGGTGGTCAAAAGGGTCACGAGAAATATAAAATAAAAATTCCCCTCTGGGTATTAAACAAATAAATGGCATTTTTTAAAAACTTAAAAATTTTACACCTTCTGGGGCAATTTTAATTTTCTTTAAAATCTTTGTTAGTTGTTTCGTTTTTATTTTTTTATTTCATATTGATAAAGTGTTATTGACGATAACATAATAGTTTTTTTTTAAATGTAGCAATATTTGTAGGTCTTAGGTTACAAAATTGCTTGTGACCACCCCTATCATCCACCTTCCTATGTACGTAATCTTTTGGGACATCCTGTATAGATTGAGAGTGTATGAATAGATGTATGAATGTATGTGAAATTGATGGCTTAATATCTTTTTTTAATTTATTTAACTGTGTGTAAGGTTCGTAGTTTTTATTTTAATGGCATATCCATATTATGATATCTGACATTCCGGGAGAGCTACAGAATGTGTGAATTATTATATAATTTAAGCTATAAAGTTTATACATAAAAATATATATAATATTTAAATCATTTATATGCCTTTTATTTACTTAAAAACCAATAGTTCTCCTTTACTATAATTCTTAAGAGATATTCCATATCGTTATCCCTTACTTTGTCTTTGAGAAAACAGAGAGAGCAACAAATAGTAAATAAATCCAACTTTTTTTCTACCTGACGCTGGCTAATACCGTGCCGAACACAAAAATAAGAAAAAAAGGGTCTCGACAAACAGACGGACAACAAAGTGATCCTATATGGGTTCCGGTTTTTTCCTATAACGTACGGAACCCTAAAAAGAGTAAACATAGTCTAAAAACTAAATTTAACTAAACTAATCCAAAGTTATTCATTATTGTAATAAAAAAGCCCATAGTATTTTTTTAACTGACTTCAAAATGAAAGAGGTTATTAATTCGGCTGTTTTTTTTCTAAACTTGGCTCCTAACATCGTACGAGTCTTCAGCCACCATAACATTCTGTACATCTTTAAAACTTCCCATATACCATTTTGATTTTAAAGGTTACATCTACATTTTAGAATATTGAGTTTGATGTAAATAGCCAATAAATAAAATTATTATCGATATATCTAAGTGTCTTTTAATGTGTGAATTTCAATTGAATAATGTTTGCCCTTGACCCCATTGATGGCAAAATTGATGATAAGTGTTACTCGTTGAGGGTTTAATCTCAGCATTTCGTCTTTGTTAGCGGAAGAGTGTGGACGCTTTTGACATTAAAAATGGCGCCAATAGTTCCAGTTGTCACTTTTAATAATGGAAAAACTATTCCCGTCGTTGGTTTGGGCACTTGGAAGGTAAGAAAATTAATTTAATTTTTACTCCTATAAGATATTTAGATATTTCTAAATAATTTTATATTTATTAAAAAAAACAAGGCATTTTTGTCATTAAAAAATTTCGCTACAATTTATTAATTTTGGCACACAAGGCACGAATGGCATAACACAATGGTTTTGTTTAAAAAAAAGAAATGTCACTTATTTATCGGAAAAATTTTGTCATTGTCAAATCAATAACTTGTTTTTGTCGGTTTTTTACTGATAAAATAAAGTAGATAAAACTATTACATAGTAAGAATTTCTTATAATAATCCAGTTAGAATACATTGTATTTTGAAATATATTTATAAAATGGCGGCAAAAGTTCCCAAAGTCAAATTTTATAATGGACTTGAGTGTCCTATCCTTGGTATAGGAACATGGAAGGTAATTGTTCATTAATATCAAAACAAATATAGAGGTGTGATATTACTACAAATGGAAGAACTGCCCACTGCTTTGTGTTACGTGTTTTTAACCCTTAAATGGACAATGTTGTTTTTAAACAACATACTAAACATCACAGATAAAATTATCTTTATTTTATTTTTTTGTTAATTTTGACAACTAGTTCTTATTTCTGAACGAATTTTGTACTTCATGTCTAGATTTTTTTACTCATTTTTCCTAGACAGTAATACATGTCTATTACACAAATATATATTTTTAAAACGTAAAAAAAAAATCGTCCATTTAAGGGTTAACGTAACAAAGCCACTCGCAAACGGATGTTTAGTTGACCTTCGTCTCGGTGGCTAGCCTATGGCTTGTGTCGCAAAGTTATAGTACATCATTTTAGCTGGCAATATGACCTAAATTAAGTCGATTCAGAGCTGATTTATACATATCTAACAAAGACTGGGTTGTAAAAGATAAAACATGGTTTTATCTGTTTATTGCATTTTATCTAAAACAAATAGGATGATGATGGTTATAAAAGATTATTATATTCGTTTATAACAGAGGAAAAGCTATAAAATGCATTTCTGCTTAACAATTACAGAAGTACCATACATAGAAATAATTATAAAGTAATAGAACTTAAGTTAATATTTGTTTACAAAATTAAAATCTTTTCTTCACTTGTTTTAAAATTATTCATCATCATCATCATCTCAGTATATGTCCCCACTGAGGGGTTCGGAGCCCACCCTAAGTTAAGGGTGATTAGGCCATAGTCAATCATACTGCCCTAGTTCGGGTTGACTTCACACATATCTTTGAATTTCTTCTCAGATATGTGCAGCATCACAATGTTTTCCTTTACCATAAGATTAAAAATGACTGCATATTACCAATTAGTTTAAGCCATAAACATAAAAGAATCTGATCTTACTAAGAAATGTTTGCTAGAAGGTATCTCCAGAATAGCTGAATGAATCTCGCTGAAATTTGTCATAGATGTAGAACATAGTCTGGAAATATACATAGGATATTATAGTGTGTCTATTTAAGATTAATTAAAATAAAAAAAATATTTGACAAGTGACTCATATAAAGTATGGAGTTAAATTTTGTATGATGATTAATCCTTTACTTAATGTACAGTTGTCATAGTTTTGGACCACACAACGAAACAACAATCATCTATTTAGTATCGGTCTTGTAATAAAATAAATCGAACAAATAAGTACTATAATTTAGGTATTTTATTATAGTTTTTATTTCGCATGAACGGAGCCACGGGCGACAGTTATATATTTGAAATTATGTTATACATTAAAAGGCCATAACCTTATCTACTTACATTATTATAAGGAAGATTTTCTCATATAAATAAGATATATTGTTTGAATTTTAAGAGTGTTATATCAGAGTTCAATAGTTCATCTTTTAAGTTATCGTAAAAATGTAATTTTGATAATTATGTAACAAAGGTATTATATAATATAAACTGATGCCATAGTTGTCCAATAGAAAAAAATCTAATAAGCTTTTTTTTATATCATAAGGTGGCAAACGAGCGAGCGGCCACCTGAAATCGCTGATATAGCGAAGTGACCGTTGCCCATAGACATACGCAATTGTAAATGCATTGCCTACCTTTAATCGACATAGGAGATGCACAGAAAGAAAATATCTTCCCTTCCCATGCATATCCTCTCATTCGGAAAGTCCACTTCCACTTCCCATCCTTTTCTTATAAGAAAAAGGGTAGGAAGGGAAAGTGGACTAAATTAGGCCTTCGGGACGCACACTCATCGGACGAAACGCGGAATAGCTTCCACTTCACGCCTGTCTTCTGTGTGGTCGTCGTATTTCACCGGGCGAGCCGGGACAATTCATGCGAAGATGTTAAAGCGGGTTCTACCACTGTTACAGCTGCAGCGTTATTAACTACCTGTCGCCTGCGACTCTGTCTGCGCAGATTAAAAAGAGCTTAATTAGTAGCCTATGTGATCTTCAAGACTATGTTGTATATGCCAAATTTTAACTTAAATCCAATGAGCCATTCCAGAGATACCTTCTATATTAGTAAGATAATAAATTTGATTACAGTCAAAGCCCGGAGAAGTGACTCAAGCTGTAAAGGATGCTATAGACATTGGATACCGTCATATTGATTGTGCATTCGTGTATGGTAATGAAAAGGAAGTGGGGGAGGCAATCACTGCTAAGATAAAGGAGGGAGTTGTTAAAAGGTAAGGTAGTTTAATAAAAAACACTTTTAAATTATAAATTAATTTCTAAATTGTAAAGTAGATGATACCCGAGACTCCGTCTGCTCGGAATAAAGAAAACTTAATTAGTAGCCTATGTGATCTTCCAGACTATGTTCTATATGCATGACAAATTTCATCAAGATCTGTTCAGTCGTTCTGGAGATACCTTTTAATAAACATCCATTCAATCATTGTTATCTTACTAATATTATAAATGCGAATGTTTAGATGGATGGATGTTTGAAGGTCCCGAACGGCTGAACAGATTGTGATGAAATTTGGCATACATAGAACATAGTTTGGAAGAACACATTACTAATTATGTTGTTGCGACAGCTGCGAAATTTATTTTCATCTGATGTTTTAAGGGAGGATTTATTCATCACATCCAAGTTATGGAACACCTTCCACCGGCCTGATCTAGTGCGTGGTGCGTTGATGAAGACATTGGAATATCTGAATGTGGATTATTTGGATCTGTACCTAATACATTGGCCGCAGGCTTACAAGGTTTGTTTACAATTATGTTTTATAGAATTCTAATGACATAGACACTAGCTCTCGCCCGTGACTCCGTCTGGCATTAAATATAAAGTAGCCTGTGTTCTTTCAGTGTTCTACATCTATGCTAAACTTCATTGAAGTCCTCGCAGCTGTTCTTGATATACTTTTTGACAAACATTTAAACATTCGCATTTATAATATTAGTAAGATTACCATAAAAGCATCTGTAGCACCGTTGGTTGACTACAGATTGAAATCTATATGTTCAGGTCTCCGTCATATACCAATGTGTTTTTTAAGTTTAGTTAATCTGTGAATAAATGTAAAAGATATGTGTGAAGTCGCACTGGGTCAGTATTGACTATGACCTAACTTAGGGTAGACTCCAAGACCCTCAGTGGCGATAGTGAGCTGATGACTACAAATGTCATGTCAGGATTTTTCTGGTTTTTATTAACAGGAAGACGGAGATTTATTCCCAAAGGATGAATCAGACAACATCCAATTCTCCGATGTGGATTATCTGGATACTTGGAAAGCTTTAGAACCATTGCAAAAGGAAGGTCTGGTTAAGAGTTTGGGTGTGTCAAACTTTAATTCCAAGCAGTTGGCGAGGTTGCTACAGATTGCTACCATCAAACCTGTCACTAACCAGGTAAGATTTTCCCTTTTCTTATAAGGGAAGTAGCTTTAACAGATGAGGGGATAGGTAGTGGTAAATATTTTTCAGCTCTAGAAACCGCTTTAACATGTTCCAATGAATTGTCCGGCTCAGTGAAATACCACGACCACACAGAAGACATGCCTCAAGTAGAAGCAATTCCAACTACAGTCTGATGAGTGTCCCGGAGGTCTTATTTTACTCATTTTTCTTATAAGAAAAGGATGGGAAGTGGAATTTTCCAGATGAGGATATGCATAAGGGAAAATATTTTCTTTCTGTGCATCTCCTCTGTAGATTATAGGTAGACAACGCATATGCAATTGCGTATGTCTATTGGCAACGGTCACTTTATTTTAGCGATTTCAAGTGACTGCATTTAGTACCTTCAGATGCTTTATTCTTAAAATGTATGTGTGATTTAATTTTCATCCAAAATAAATTTACCAGGTGGAATGTCACCCATATTTAAACCAATCCCGTCTCAAAGCATTCTGTGAACAACACAATATAGTTATAACTGCATACTCTCCGTTGGGTTCTCCGGACAGACCGTGGGCTAAGCCCGGAGACCCTCAGCTACTAGAGGATGAGAAGTTAAAAGCTATTGCGGATAGATTGGGCAAGACTGTAGCTCAAGTTTTGATTAGGTATGTTTTTGTATACTAGCTATCGCCCGCGACTTCGTCCGCGCGGTGTAAATAAAGTCTTAATTAGTAGTCTATGTGTTCTTCCGGACTATGTTCTATATGTATGACAAATTTCTACGAGATCTGTTGATCTTTTTTGGAGATACCTATAAACAAACATCCATCCATCCATCCATCCATCTGGACATTCGCATTTATAATATTAGTAAGATACTTAATGTTATATATATTTTTAATTTTGATAATTTTTATATAAACACTAGCTGTGCCTGCGACTTTGTCCGCGTGAAATACTCTTTTTTGGAATTTATTTTTCCTCTTTGAAATTAATATACATTTGTATATTCAAAACCCTGCTATATATAATTAAAAAAATCTGATTTTTTTTATTTGTTCTAACTCTGTCAACTCCTTTTGATATTATAAGGTCGTAACTTTTTACAGATATCAAATAGATCGAGGTAACATTGTCATTCCTAAATCAGTGACAAAGTCTAGAATTGCGAGCAACTTTGAAGTGTTTGATTTCAAATTGTCCAAAGAAGATTTGGATCTTATCAACACTTTTGATTGTAATGGACGTCTAGTACCTATGACTGCGTAAGTATATAAATTATTAATATAATTGTTAAGGGTTTTATCTCATTTTGGGAGGTTGGACCTTATTTTAAGAGGTTTGGTCTCATTTTGGTGAGGTTGGATCTCATTTTGCGAGGTTGGATCTCATTTTAAGGAGGTTGGATCTCATTTTGGTGAGGTTGGATCTCATTTTGGTGAGGTTGGATTTCATTTTAGGAAAGGGGAAGGGATTGACTCCTGAAACACGACTTTGCCCTAGTTCAAGATCAAGGCTCCCACATATTTGTGTTTAATCTCCTTTAGGAGAATTTAGTCTGATTCGGGAGAGTTTTATCTCATTTAGGAGAGATTTGATCTCATTTAAGAGAGTTTATTCTAAATTAGGGGAGTGCGATCTTGATGAGATTTATTCTTTTATACTTTGTGTGGTGGAGGTTCATACAAATTCGGAGAGGGGATGATAAGGGTGTCAAAAAGTGATAAAGTTAAATCTCTTAGTAATGAATGTGTTAAGGAACGTTGTTTTCAGTTTTTTTTTTATTAATATGTATGCTAATTTTTACTGAGAAACATTTCAAAGAAGTTTTCATTTGTGTCAAGTGTTATGGGTTTTTTTTGTTTTTTTTTCAGATCACTCGGTCACAAATACCATCCTTTTGAAAACGATGAATATTAATAATATTATAATGTTTTTATTCTAATAAACATGTAATGTTAAGTACGAATAAAGGATTTTATTGAATTTTGTTTGTTTTTTTTATTATCGTTACGCGGAAATTTTATGTCTAATAAACAAAAAATAATTAAAAAAAAAAACTAATTTATTTCAATTAATCAAATGTTAATTTCACAGAACACTTTCGACATTTTTAATACATAATTAAAAATAAATTAAAAACTACTTTACCGTTATAGAAGTTTTTTTCCTGATGGCTTTTTCACTAACCCTGAAAAAAAGAAAAAATATGAAATTAACAAAAGAGAAAAATACAGTCGTAGTACCCTGGTTAAGCAAGAGTCCAAATTTCTCGCTTATATAGGTTTCTCTGTAACTCGAATTTCTCGCTTATAGAGGTTTCTCTCTAATCCGTGTTTCTCGCTTATAGAGGTTTCTCTCTAACCCGAGTTTCTCGCTTATAGAGGTTTCTCTTTAACCCGAGTTTCTCGCTTATAGAGTTTTCTCTCTAACCCGAGTTTCTCGCTTATAGAGGTTTCTCTCTAACCCGAGTTTCTCGCTTATAGAGGTTTCTCTCTAACCCGAGTTTCTCGCTTATAGAGGTTTCTCTCTAACTCGAGTTTCTCGCTTATAGAGGTTTCTCTCTAACCCGAGTTTCTCGTTTATAGAGGTTTCTCTCTAACCCGAGTTTCTCGCTTATAGAGGTTTCTCTCTAATCCGAGTTTCTCGCTTATAGAGGTTTCTCTCTAACCCGAGTTTCTCGTTTATAGAGGTTTCTCTCTTACCTGAGTCTCGCTTAGAGAGGTCATTGACTATAATTTTTTATATTTATTTACGTATACTTACTGGCTATATTACTTGATGATTTAGCTCCGATTGTCTTCTGTACGCTGTTTACTGAATTTGTCGTCAGATTCTTTACATTTGTCCCTGAAATGACGTGTAAAATCATTTGAAAATCAATTCCGGAGATATCTTCAAACAAACATACATCCAAACATTCTCATCTTACTAATATAAATGCGAATGTTTAGATGTTTGTTTGAAGATATCTCCGGAACAGCTGAACAGATCTTGATGAAATTAGTCATACATATAGAACATAGTCTGGAAGAACACATAGACTACTTATTAAGTGTTTTTTTTTAAATTCTGTCTTGACAGAGTTGTGTATAGTTAATTTATATTAGTAAAATTTAACTTACTCGGGCTCATTCTGAATGTATTCATCTTCTTGTTTGTCTTCATTGGAATTTTCGTTTTCTGTAAATTCGTTTTCTCTTTATTAATGTTGTCACTGAATCTTTTATTAATTGGTTTGATTTTTGTATCGTATATTTCGGTGTTGCCAGTTTTTTCTATTGACTTTATATTTGGTTGATTTTTCATTTTTAAATTTGGTTTTAAATTAATACGTTTCGTTTGTGATAATATTTTTTCATTGTTTCCTTTGATTTTTGTATTTGTAACGATTACTTTCTTTTGTATTTTCTTACCTTTTTCTATATTTTCTTTATTCGGTATGTTTTTGTCTGTTTCTTGTGCTTTGTTCATTGAATTATTTTCTATTGAATCAGATTTTAACGTATTTTTACTTATATTATCTTGATTTTTATTGTCATTAGGTTTTTTCATAATTTCTTTATTACAGTTTATTGGATTTTTTATAATTTTATTATCAAAACCTTTCACTTTGACATGATTTTTAGTTTTTTCAGTATTTTTATTTAATTCTTTTTCTTTATTACTTTTAACTTGATTCTCATTTGATCCTTCAGATACATTTTTCTTAGATTTATTAATTTCTTTACTATAATTTTCACTATTTTTCTTGTTTTTAATTTTAATTTTCTTCGGCAATGCCTTTGGTGGTCCCATAACTTCGTTTTCTTTCTTTTTCTTAGCCATTGGTATGTCCGTTGCATCATTCGGTCTCTTCTGTACCCTGGATACATCTGATCCTGAATTATCTTGCGCTTTAAGACATGTGCTGATGATCTTGGAAAGGAGGGACGTCCTCTCTTCAGTATCAACAGATGGATTAGACATTTCTTTGTTTGCTTGTGTTATTATTTTGAGAGATGTTTCATCTGAAATATTGGAATGATTTCTAGTTAAAAAAAAAAATATAGCCAATAACATAATCGTATAAATCAGCCACCTTCTAGTCAAGTACCGTCAAAATATAACCAACCGTTCATACAAACATATAGACAGAAAATTTTAAAAATTTCGTTATTAGGAACTCAAATATATCATGTGTACGAAATATGATTTTTTTATGTTACACACGGACACTCCAGATTAAACTGTCATAAATATATACATACTAGCTGTCGCCCGCGACTTTGTCCGCGCGGAATTAAAAAATAACATAATTAGTAGTCTATGTGTTCTTCCAGACTATGTTCTATATGTATGACAAATATCATCTAGATCCATCCATCCATCTAAACATTTGCATTTATAATATTAGTAAGAAGTAAGATGAGATTGGTTATGTATAATTTCGTTTCAAAATTCGACATATCGTTTAAATCCATTTTACTTATGTATTTAACGGTTTTTATAATTAGATATATAATAATATATTAATTACTAATATTATAAATGCGAATGTTTATATGAATGTTTGTTAGAAATCTCCGGAACAGCTGAACAGATCTCGATGAAATTTGTCATACATATAGAACATAGTCTGGAAGAACACATAGACTACTATTTTTTTAATTCCTCGCAGACGGAGTCACGGGCTACAGATTAGTTATAAAAATCATTGTATACTTACCCATATATTCCAGGCTGAGTTTCATTCTATGCCTAAAGTAAGCTACTGTGGACGGTTTACTCTCTAATGTCCAGGAAAGTTCTAGAATATTTGCACATTGAAGTTGATAACCTCCTTCTGACTGGAATATAAAAAAAACATATATAAAAACGGGTTAAAGACTCACGTTAATCCGGTGGCACCGACTAGTGTCAAGCCCATCGGGGTGAGTGGATTGGTATCGTGGAAGTGGTTTCTAGCTCACAGGTGAGTTTATTATATTGTCTCCGGAAGTTTGAATCATCATCAGCTTACTATATGTCTCCAATGAGTGGCTCGGAGCCTACCCTAAGTTAAGGGTGATTAGGTCATAGTCAACCACGCTGACCAAGTGCAGTGACTTCACACATATCTTTGAATTACTTCTCAGATATGTGCAGCATCACGATGTTTTCCTTCACCGTAACATCAGATAAATGTACATATGTAAATCGGAAATGGAAAAACACATTGGTACATGGAATTCGAACCCAGGACCTGCAGATTGCAAGTCAAGTTGTTCAGTCGTTCTGCAAATACCTTCTAACAAACATCCATCCAAAAGTGTAAAGGGAAAGTGGTCATTTTTGAAATATTTTCTGACACCGGTTTCAATATTGTTTGAAAGACACTTACCAATGGTGTCATAAACAAATCATCTCCATACATCTCGGCGAGACGAGCGAGCGTCGTGCGTCTAGATCTGTGTGCTGCAGCATAACTTTTTAATACCTGTAAAAAATAAAAATAAATTAATAAGTTTTTTTAATAGTTAATACTAGTTTTGTTTGAAATTGATATTAAAGTAGTCTATGTGTTCTTCCAGACTATGTTCTATATATTTTTCCATCACCTATCGCCACCAAGATGCGGCGCTCGTCAGACCACTCAGAGCACACCTACACCACCACATAGAAGACAGGCGTGAAGTGGAAGCAATTCCGCGTTTCGTCTGATGAGTGTGCGTCCCGGAGGCCTACTTTAGTCATCTTTCCCTTCCTACCCTTTTCCTAATAAGGAAAGGATGGGAAGTAGAAGTGGACTTTCCGGATTAGAGGATGCATGGGAAGGGAAAATATTTTCTTTCTGTGCATCTCCTCCGTTGATTAAAGATAGGCAACGCATATGCAATTGCGTATGTCTATGGGCAACGGTCACTTCGCTATTTCAGCGATTTCAGGTGACCGCTCGCTCGTTTGCCAACTTATGATATAAAAAAAAATGTTCTACATTTTTGACAAGTTTCATCAAAATCTGTTTAGTCGTTCTGGCAATACAATCAACCATCTAAACATTTGCATTTATAATATTAGTAAGATTTCTTCATAAAGTAATTAGAAGTGACTAAATGATTCCATACTATACCTCAAAAGCTTCGCTTGGAGTTTTCATTTTGCTAAGAACAGAATTAGCAAGTTCTCTCTCATTCGCTTCCTTTGATGCCACTACTTTAAGACATCTGTAAGATGGCTGACCAAAGTTACGGTTCTGAAAAGAATATTATTTTTTTATAATTAAAGATTACGATATACCTTGCAATGATAGAGCGTCGGTGGCTCAGTGGTCAAGCACTTGACTTGCAATCTGCATGTCTTGGGTTCGAATCCCGCCATGTACCAAAGTGTTTTTCCATTTCTGATTTACATATGTACATTAATCCGACGTTCTTACAGTGAAGGAAAATATGGTGATGCTGCACATATCTGAGAAGTTCAAAGATATGTGTGAAGTCAACCCGCACTGGGCCAGCGTGGTTGACTATGGCCTAATCACCCTTAACCTAGGGTAGGCTCCGTGCCCCTCATATTGTCTTCATAGTCTGGAAGAACACATAGGCTACTAATATTTTTTATTAATACCGTGCAGACAGAATTGTGGGCAACAGCTAGTTACTGAAATATTCTACATCTAACTATAGTTGAAACTTACTGGTTGATGTACATAGAAAGATATTGTGAATGGTATTAGATCCACTTTGCACTCCGCTATTGCTTCATGCCAAACACCTTCTTCAGTTATTGCTGACTCTCTGTAATTGAACATATTTAAATTATAGTAAAAGAGCTTGAGCTTTGTTGACTATGGTCTAGTCACACCAAACTTTGGGTAAGCTCTGAGCCCGTTAGTGGGAACCTATACTGAACTGATGATGATGACAAGAGCTTCAATGTTTCATCGGTTAAGGTCTGCAGGTCTTGGGTTTGTATAATGTGTTTTTACAATTTACATATGTACATTTAGGTGATGTTATTATGGTTAAAAAGATAGTGATGCTGCACATATCAGCAGCATTGACTATAGCCTAGTCACAACTAACCTAAGATAGACTCCGAGGCCCTCTGTTGTTCTTTATAATTAAAAAAAATAAAAACTGAGTACCACATATAACATGTTTTAATATAAGTAAGAAATTTGATTTCCAATAGAAACAATGGTATAGTCATCATCATCATCAGCTCACTAAGAGGCTGTCACCATTGTAATAATGGTATGGTGTTTAGAAAAATTATCATATCATTTTCATTAATCATCTATTTTATTTCATACCCATTGATTTCTGGACACTCTAATAGGATATTCACAGTTGACTCCAGCACTTCAAGACCTGTGAGCTCCGCTGTTGCATTACAACGTGTCTGTAATATAGATTTCTTCCTCACTAAGCTCGGCAATGATTTACCTTTATCCATACGTAAAGTAAGTTCTGTGTCCGAATCTGAGCTGGAATTTTAAAGTTTTAAGGCCGTTTTAAAGTAATGTAGTAATAAACATCCTTAGAAACTATTGTATTTATAAAATTTGTAGGCTGAAGTATATTAAATGTGATTAGGTTTGAACTTTTGAAACGATTTTACTATATGCTTATTTCGTATGTTTTTGTTGGAGTAGGAAGTTAAAAATTAGAATAATTTAAAAAATAACATTGTTACGATCTTTTATATACATTAATTGGCAATTACCTGTCTTCATATTTGAAATTATTGTTTGTTTGATTTTGTTTAGCTTTCTCAATTTGTTTGTCACATAATTTCAATTCTTCTAAAAGCTTTTCCTTTCGCTGTAATAAGGCATTTTTCTTGCCTGGTCTGTTCATCCGAGACATTTTTCTTAATAATTATTGTTTTAAAACATTAAATAAAACTAAAATCTTCAGATTCTTAAAATAACAACTTTATTTTCAAATCAAATCAACTGACAAATTGAACCAAAGATAAGGACCAAAGACAACAACGACCACAGATTAGAAAAAACTTGTGCAGAACAAATAAACAATAGTATACCATTTCAATAGCATGAATATCACTAAATTTTTTGTATTTTTATAGAAGATTTAAATCTTCATTAAATAAACAATTACAGCGTTGTTTAGTTTTGAAAACTAAACATTTTACAAATATTTTCATTAATATTTTTACTCTTCCGCTATTGTCACAAATGTCAAATGAGAGTTGCAAGTTGCAAAACCGAAGATCATAAATTATTGGCAAAAACAGTTAATTTTATTATTACTATAATGTAAACAAATACCGTGCAATGTTAATAATAACAGTGGTTACCGAGTTATAGGCTAATTTAGTTAATAAGTTACAAGATTCCAATAAGAAAAGTTTACAATATTTTAGAAGACATTTTATAAAATAAATTTAATTAATATTAATAGTAAACATGTGTTTGATTAGAAATTATTACTGATGACTTTAGATTGTACTAATCGTGTTAAAAGGTGCGTAATTAGTATCCAAACAATAGTATAAATACGATAATTTAGTGCAACCGAAGAGTTCAAATATCACAACGAAATGGGCCAAACGGGCAGCGCTATCCCTGGTAAGTGATGTTAATTTTATTCCAAAACGTGTTAATATACTTTAACAAGAGTCTAATTAGAAATATCGCTTCCTATTCTCTTATAACCTATATGTACAATGACGCATAACTAAACCCACTTACGTTATTAATATTCATCAATTAATTCAACATTCCATGTCCTAAATGCGTAATCTTAAACGGGATGTGCTTATCTACGTTAATAACATTTATTAAATACATTTTAAATACAATAATGTGCATTCTATTATCAAATAATATAATAAAAGTAGTGTTTAGGATTTTGAAATTTAATGTTATAATTGTCTCCGATTTTAGTGCTATTAGTACTCTGGGCGAGATTTTTACGGCAACCCCTGTTTATCAAGTCTTTGGTTGGTGCTCTTTTCTGTCCAGTATCCTGGTCATCCAATCTCACTTTATCCTAACACAGACACAGAGTATCTTTTCAGTTTTTATGATTATTAATTGAAATATTATTAGTAAATAATAATGTCAGAAGTATATAATGATATGTAATGGAGGTTCTTCATTTACCTATTAGGTATACAATCCTGCAATGCCATATTGGCATATACCAGAGGACTTAACGATACACCATTCTGTGGCATTTGATAAAAACCTAATTAATAGAAGATGTCTTTTGCTAGACTATGTTCTACATCTAAACGAAATATCAGCGAGATCCAGCCATTCTGGTACCTAATACCTTCTAACAGAATTCCATCCATATAAACATTTGTTTTGTAATATTAGTAAGATTGGTACTCCACTCTACTACAAGGTAAATACTAATCCCTTTTCCACTCTTCTTTAACAATAAAAGAATGCTAATTTAATGGATATGACAGAGATGGCTCCATATAAGAAAAAGACATAACCATCGAAGTGGCATCCTCTGGCATGGAACTTCGGAAACTTTCTTGTTGTGTTGGTATTACACATATCTTTTTAATGTTGGTACAAATATTATCTCACATAGTTCTAAGCTGCCAGCAATAAGTTGGATAGTTGCAGCTTTGTCTACTTTTAAAGGACAGAGGATGTTTTTTCTTCGTATTATGTTGCTTTCTTAAATAAGATGATGTTTCTTTCAAATCCATTTCTCTTTACTATCTTTTTTATTAGTGTAATATTTTCTTGCAAAAAAAAACTATGCAAATCAAATATGACGAATTATCATTCAGAAACCTAATTATTGGTTGTTTTCGTTATTGACAATCATATAAAGGGACCTTCAAGAAGCGAGCATACCATTTCCTTAAAGGTTGACAACGCATCTGCAGTTCCTCTGGTGTTGCAGATGTTCATGTCGTTGATCGCTTCGGTGTTCCCGTCGCTCGTTTGCCACCTTCTCTTATTAAAAGAACTCAGTTTTTTGACATTAAAAAGCCTAGTCTGCTCTCTACGGTCTGTCTGAACAGACCCTAAGAGGTATTTAGGTATACAGAAATTACAATAGTGAAGTGTTACAATAGGTAACGAAAGATAAACTACCCTCCACTATTTAAAATTAATATTATAAATGTGAGTACATGGATGGATGTTTGTTTGAAGTTATCTCCAGAATGTCTGATCGGATCACAATGATGTTTGGCATGCATAAGAACACATAGGTTACTTATAGTTCCGCACGGACGGAGTCGCGGGCGACAACTAGTTGTTAAATAAAATTATTAATTATAGAACATAGTCTGAAAGATCACATGGGCTACTAATTATTTTTCTTTTTAATTCCTCGCGGACGGAGTCGCAGGCGACAGCTAGTTATGATTTTTATTTGCTGCAATATTAAATAGGATTCAAGACAAAAATTATTTTGAAACTACATATTCTGTGTTCTTGGATGTCATCTTTGAAATATTTAATGTGAACTTATGAAATAATGGTCCTTTACTTAGAAGTACGTAATTTAAAAAAGTTTGAAATTTTAAATAAAGAAAAATGAACTGTATCCACTTGTAATAAAGCGTATTTTGGCTTGTTTAGTTGTAGCAAATAAAAAATTCTTTTCTTCTCGCGAACAGCTGACGATCATCTGTGAAGTAACTCTACCTGTCATTCTTATGTTTTTTTTTTTGCACAACGCACGTGCATTCTGCCAGCACAATTCACGCAATGCGAAATGGACAATACATCGCATAGGAATATCGACTCTATTCCTATAGCATTAGGTCGATTTTAGCTTACCTGATTATTTTTATTTTAATAAATGTTTTTGCGTGGAATTTAAAATGAAAATGTATTCTGTGTCGTTGATATTAAGGTTGAATTTGCACTGTTAAGAGAAATTGCATCCTTTGTGCGTTTTAGTTATGCAAAATTCGGGTTACTTTTTTTTCGATCAGCTGATGGTACAAAGGCAATGTACACAATGTTCTAATGTCATGCGTTTTTTTTGTTTTTTTTTTCTATACATGTTTTTTTGTTTGTGGTCAAGAGAAAATATTACCAGCCAGTGTTTGGTATAATATAGCTTTCTAAAGGCGAAAAAATTAGTAAAGTCGATATCGTAAATTTTCTTGTTTATTACGACTAGCTGTCGCCCGCGACTCCGTCCGCGCGGAAATAAAAACGAACTCTATAAGTAGCTTATATATTCGTCCAGACTATGTTCTATATCAGTGCCAAATTTCTAACCAATATCCATCTAAACATTCGCATTTATAATATTAGTAAGATTACTTCGCCTTAGGAAGCCTTTATATGTATTTATACAAATAAATAAACTTCAATTGAGATTTCTGTTGTCATTCACCTTTTTTGTTCTGATAAAAAAAACTGACGAATTTTTTCGATATTTTCGAGTATATACCAAAATAAGTAAATATTATTTTAACATTTTATATTGATTAGTTTTATAAAAAAAAAACAAAATCTTTGTTTTACAACGCAAACAATAGATGGCGCTTTTTCAAATATAAAGCCATAGTAGGGTTTTTGGTTTTTTTAATAAGGTTGGGTTCAAACTAAATCTATTACTCTCGTCTTAGTAACTTACGCTTTTGTTTTTAGTCGACTTCAAAAAGGTTGTTAATTCGTATGTATTTTTTTTTTAATTTACCACTGGCTGTAAATAGTGTACAAAGGTGGCATAGCAACTAAGGTTAGTTAAAGAAAAAAAAAACAACAGCATATGTAGGTAATACTGTGGAATTTCTCTTTGTATCCAATTCAAGCGATATTAGACCTTAACTGGTAGTGATAAAGTTCAATTTGATGTTTTTATGACATTGTATAGGGTTTTTAGTAAACAGCTGACCGATGACAGCTGGTGTTCGGACAATGAATTAATTTCAGATTAAAGTATTTTGAACTTTATTCGAATTGGAATTGAGTACAAAATTATTTATTATTTTATAAAATGTGGATTAATTTAGATATAAACTAGCGGACCCGACAGACGTTGTCCTGTATATTAAAATAAAATAAAATTAAATTAAAATTCGAATATTATTTAAAATTTGACACTGCGATGGTAGCGCCGTCTGTCGGATCCAATGTAAAACATTCCAAAATCAACAACTACTAATAAATTAAATTAAAAAAACATTGTCCAGCGGACAAAATTGTGAATCTAAACCATTCCCAGATCCACTTGAACACACACAAAATATTTCATCAAAATCGCTCCAGTCGTTTGAGAGAAGTTCAGTGACATACACACGCACAGAAGAATTATATATATAAAGATTATTATCTAAAATTTGTAGTAATTAATTAAAAAGCCTTCTGAATGTACTTCTTTGTAAATTACGAATGTAAAAGTGTACTTCAAAATTCACAATCTGCATGGATCACGCTGAAATTAAACATCGATGTAGAACATAATCTGGAAGAACACATAGACTACTATTTAAAACATTTTTAGGGTTCCGTACCTCGAAAGGAAATAAACGGAATATCCATCCATACATTTAATCATTCGTAGTAATATTCATCAGCATCAGCTCACTATACGTCCCCAATGAGCTCGGAGCCTACCCTAAGTTAAGGGTGATTAGGACATAGTCAACCACGCTGACCAAGTGCAGTGACTTCACATATATCTTTGAATTTCTTCTCAGATATGTGCAGCATCACGATGTTATCCTTCATCGTAAGAAATATTAGTAAAATGTATTTATTTCTTTGATTATACTTGTTCCCCGAATTACCTTAGTACATTCACCCTATAACACCTGCTAAATGTGCAAACCTCGCTTCATAAGGGTTGAAGGCACAAGGCCGGACAGACGGCGAGCAAAAACCCAACGACATCTGTCGGTTAGGCACGCGACTCTGCAACTATGCATATGTGAATAAAAAACTGCATGCGATGTATCAAAAGTCATAGTTAAAAGTTGAGT